GGGAAATTTTGCCCGGGCAGCGGCACTACGGCCTACTCTTATATCGAATTCCAACTGACAAGGGATCTTTTACGTGCACGCCAATGTGTACACGGGACCTCGGTTTTTCGTTCCATCCGAACGACTAGTCAGCTGTCATTGCCAGGCCCTCCGTCCTGCATCACTGAGAAGGGGAAACCACGCTGGAAAATCTGGATGAACTTTCTCGGCCAATGCAGGGACCGAACACCCGACCTCCAGGCTAGCAAGTCAGCGACTTAACTCATTGGTAATAATGGATGATTTACAACAGGCTGCTATATATTGACTACCGACAAGTCTGGAAACATAACAGAAAATCTGAAAAATAAAATCCTCCTAGAAATAAATTGAAATGGGGTTTAACGCCCTACTGTTTGGCTCAGAGTGGGCTAATGAAGACGGGCACACGTCATACAGTGTGTTGAGAGAGAAAATTTACCCGGAAAGCGGCGCTAGGGCCTACTTTTATATCGTATTGCCATTGCCAAGGGATCTTTTACATACACATTGCACGCGGGAACCATGCCGGAAAATCACGAATGAACTTTCACGGCCAACGCAGGGATCAAACACGGGACCTCCAGGTTAGCGAAACGTCTTACTCACTGAGCCACCGTGGTTCCCCCAAGAAATAAAGTTTGTAAAATGGTCACAAGACAAGAATTTGTGGACGGAAACGGGTGACGCCAATATATAAAATGATCTAGAGACACGTCTCTACATCAAATCTCTGGTTCCGTGATTACAGTAAAATATTATATTTTTGGAACATTCCTTTAACATAATGTCATGATATTTCAAAAGTTCACGTTATTTAGGTTCAAACAAAAGAAAATATGTCAAATTATTCCGGTTGTCCGAGGTTTCTATATAAGAATAAATACTAGCAGATGTTGGTAATAATAGTACTAAAGTTACTTTGTCAAAGATGAAAAAAAAATCCCCTTTGTTTTTATATTAAAAGAATTAAATGTATCATGTTCTATGAAATGGCCAGCAATAGATTAAACTTTAACCAGGAATTATTCACACCTGTATACAAAATTAGTACAGCTAAAAATATGAACTGAGAGGGGGTTGGAGTGGGGGTACTTTGGAGCGACGGTTCGGGACATCCTTTTCTAGGAACAGGGCATTCAATAAAATAGTGAAATTAAAATCAAGTTTTTTAAAAATTTGAAATTATCACTGTTCAAGGGGCTAAATCTCTATTCTTTGGCACCTACAAATGGACACAAATGGACACAAATGCCTATAATAATGTAATATGAATGCATATAAACTGATTTACATTCAATCGTTTCGGTATTTACTATAATTTCCAATTAGATATGTGCGACGAAATACGCGAAGAGGCCAAATTCTGGCGTGCGATTCTTGTGCCAATTTTAAAATTTTCATTCTGTCTTAAATATTGGATATCAGAAGCTCATCTTTTCACGGTAAGATAACAACACCAATGTTGATTTAAATTGGATGATATTGTGTTAGAGATTTGCCTCCTTTAACTATGGGAGCCACGGTGGACGTGGGTAAGCGTTGGATTTGGAGGTCCGGTGTTTGATCTGTGCGTTGGCCGAGAAAGTTCCTCCTTGTCAGTGGAGCAGCACTGATGGTCTGACAAGGTACAGCGTATAGTCTTTCGGAAGGGTCCAAAACCGAGGTCCCGTGTACACATTGGCATCCCTTGGCAGTTGGAATTAGATATAAGAGTAGGTCGTAGCGCCGCTGTCCGGGCAAATTTCCCTCATGGCAAACTGTATGGCGTATGCCCGTCTTCATTAGCCCAGTCGGAGCAGAACAGTAGGACGTTAAACCCCATTTCATTTCTCTCTGTGACCCCTTGTTCCAACTTTCTGTAACGAAACAAGACGATAACTTAAACATAACTATAGAGTTTTACTATCTAAAGTAATGTAATTTTGATCGAGATTTCATCGTGTAAACTGCGCGTTAAAACGTTTTGACATAAAGTTAAATGGTCCTTAAACCATGGTGTACGACTGTCCTACTTAATTGAATAAAAACAATTATTTCATCTATTCTTACATATTTAAAATGTGTTCCTTTCTCATTTTTTTGAGTACCAATTAAGCCCAGTACTTGAGTCTTGTGAATATAATTAAAGAATTCGCCCCGAGCGTCACCAAACAAATTCTAAATATTATACTTTTTGACATCGTCTAAAGAAAAGAGCAAATACGTCCCGATTGCAGATTTAGGATTTTTGTTTAGTAATATGGAAATTGTTGCCAAATGGCAAGCAAAAGTGGGAAATAATTAATAATTAAGTTCTCCAGATGTGGAAAGTTATGGGAGGAAGGTATTAGTAATTTTTGTGTAGCTCGTTGTGCTTCACATAAGGCGAAAACATGCACTGACCAAAAATAGCATATTCCATGAAACTGACACATCTTGCTCAGAATATTTTGTATTTTTCTTAGCATTTATTTCAACCATGTAATTTTTGAGATATCTTAACTTCTTTTAAAAAGCCGTAATTTTTGGTCATATGGGTGGTTTATTTAAATAACAATGACATTAATGATGTTTGAAGTCTACTATTTGTTACAAATTCAATTCTAACTAAATCCAATAATCTCTAGACCATAAATAAACACCTTAAATCTGGAACTACCAGTCACATCAAATTATAACCCCTCTGATGAGATGTTACGGACGCCCATTTTACAGTTATTGAAGGCTTGTTAAACTCCTTTAATTCAAACATTTAGGTATACATTTAAGCTGAAACATGCATCTGTAATTCTTCAAGTAAACTCAACAACTTTGTGATACATTTCTAAGTCAATTCTTCTATGTAAAATACGAATACCAAGACATCGTGAATCTAAATGACACTAATTAAGGCAGTTTTTAAAAAAAGTTAATAAGCACTGGACTTGTTTTAAAATTCACTTTTACTTTGTTATAGAAATGATTTATTGAAGATAATCGTTATATAAAGATACATAATATGAGCTATAGATTATCGGTGGTAGTACGAAAGCCCAGAAGGCGCATTCCAAATTCCAAATGCGAAATTCCAAATTCATGTCTTACCGATAAAATAGCAAATTGGCAGCCCCCCCAATTAAACAAATTAGAATTTATATAAATTGTAATTTTACACAACTAATTACTTCTAGTTTACCTATCTGGGCCGGATAAATACCCGTTCCAAATTACTAGATTCCAAATTCCAGATTCCAAATGCGAAATTCCAAATTCCAAATCTGATTCGACCAATCGGATCAGGTTTTTGCTTTTGACTAATCAGTTAGAGTATAATAACAATATTCCAGTTCGGGTTTGCTTCGGCAGATGTGAACAGTTTGGGGCAAAGTTCCTCGGCAGTGAGCTACTCTGCTACTCGATATCCTAGGACTGGCTTTTTTTTTTTTGCTACAGCAAATTTGCAATTTGGAATCTGAATTTTGGAATCTGGAATCTGGAATTTGGAATGAGCCTTCTGGGCTTTCGTAGTGGTTGGTATCACATACAACCGGGTCTATTTTATCTCTGTTAAACTTTTGATTTATCGGAGACATGAAATGAAATGGGTTTTAACGTCCTACTGTTCTGCTCAAGCTGGGCTAATGAAGATGGGCATACGTTTATCGGAGACGTATAAAGAAACGAACTATTTGTACTTCAACAATTATTTCATAGTACATGACGTAACAGCATTGTGTGTAATATATCAGAAAGATAAATGCAATAATAACCAACAAAACATACTGTCAAAGATGAGCACACTAACATGTCAGACAGTTGTGCCAAGTTGGGGTGTATATAATATACTAATATTCGATTTGTGATTCGGAAAACTGAAAACAAAAACAGGGCCATTTCTTTCTGACCACAGCCCTTCCTCGGGATAACTATAAAACTGACATTTTGGACTACCTTGCGCACATGTTTTTTTTTCCGCTTGTTGAAGCAACGAGCTGTCGAAATGACGACGAAAGCTAGCTTGCGCGTACCAAACAATTTGCAAGCGACGGTTTAGGGGTTGCCAGTATTACGGCAATCATGCATACATCCCAGACATTTCTGAAAAGCTTAATCGGTGCCCATTTCTAATTTGTATTGGTCGACCAATCAATATAGTTCATACGAGTCTGGTGTTTTTTTTTAATGCTTTATAATTTCTTAAACCTATCATACAAATTAGAAATGGGCATCGATTAAGCTTTTCAGAAATGTTTGAGATTATAAAGCATTAAAAAAACACCAGATTCGTATGAACTATATTGATTGGTCGACCAATAAAAACTATCCTCCATAACTGCAGCCAAAATTTGGTAATGGTAAATAACTTCTGTGCCATTGCTTTGAAATATGGAGTCCATGATGCTGGAGAAACAAACTTGTATAATTTATGTTTTTATTTTAGCACATAGTTTTATGTTTAATATACATAGTTTACACAAATATACAAAATAAAAATATACAATAAAATACATGTCCAGAGAGCTATACAATAAGTAAACTGTGAATAGTACACCAAGGAATGAATATTTATATCAAAAGTAAAGATGATCAACTACAGTTAAAAGTTTCAGTGATTTGATTATCTTGAAACCTAATCCCAGATAGAATGGAGGCCATAAATTTGCCAACATTCATAAAATTATACAAACAAATTGTATTTTAGAAGTTCCATACACACTTGATATATTCATACATATAATGGTACCCAAGATGGTGGACAATATTAATAAAAATTTAACTATTTTTGATGAAATGACATTTTCTTTTTTTTTTGGAGAAAGTTTGACATTTTTTTTACAGAAAAATAGTGTTATTTTATGGGTCACTATGCCATGCACTCAAAGAAAACATAAGGGATATTATTTTGTAAAGCTCTATAGCTGGTCTTATTATAACCTATTAACTCACGGCTTCAAGTACACTCACAGAATGTTCTAATATTTTAAGTAAAGTGGAAGTATTGTATTAAGCTTTTAATAATTTATGGTTTTAATAAACATAATGTAGTGGAGTTTTTTTTATATGGTGCACCCGAAAGTCTTACATGAGGCGTTAAGCCACTAATACAACCCAATAAACTGAATATATAGATGATAGTATATATGATGTTTAACTATTTCAAACTTATTTTTTTTGTCAATAAATAGTTGTTATGATCAGTTCAACATGATCTAGGACTCTAAGACTAGAGAAGAGTTAAGGTAGGTATTTGTACCCTATTTTCCCACTTTTAGACACACCTTTTGCGGATTTCCATGTACTTGTCAACCGCGTGTTTAATACATAATATGATATATGTCAACTTAAAGAAAAAGGGCAAATGGCTTAACATATCAACAAATTATTATTAAACAATTCATATGTGAATCATTTAATCCATCATTATGCATTAAGCTTCTTCTTATCACTGTGAATTATTGAGTGAGTCAACAATTATAAGATCAATATATCTAGTTTCATTCATCCTCTGGTTATGTACTCTTTATAAAACATTATTCTGATTCCAATACTTATAATTAAACAGTCACATGGCAAGATTTACCTGATACAGCCATCATCTATACAGCTGCATAATTACTGTTTTATATTCACTGTACATTACACTGATCTGTAATAGAAAACAACCCAGATTAGTATAGTTTATACACATTATTCCAACATTTATACCCACACCCTTCAAATTAAGTAAATGACTAACATAAATAGTGATCCATCAAATTAAGAAAATGACTAACATAATAGTGATTAGTGACCCTTCAAATTAAATGAATGACTAACATCAATAGTGATTAGTGAAAACAACATTTATACCCACATCTATCAGATTAAATAAATGACTAACATAAATAGTGACTTGTGACCCTTATAATTAGATAAATGACTAACAGAAACATTGATTAGTGAAAACAACATTTCTACCCAGTGACCTGAAATGCAGTGGGGTTTAATGTCCTACTTTTCTGCACCGACTGGTATAATCTAGTCAGGACTAGAGACCCTTAAATGACTAACATAAATAGTGATTTGTGAAAACATTCATACCCAATGTACCCATGCCTCTTAAATTAGATAAATAACTAACATAAATATTGATTAGTGAATACAACACCCCTCAAATTAATTAAATAAATGACTAACATAAATAGTGATTAATGTAAACAACATTTATACCCTCTCAAATGAAATAAATTACTAACATAAAAAGTGATTAGTGAAAACAACATTTGTACCAACACCCCTCAAATTAAATATATGACTAACATAGTGATTAATAAAAACAACATTTATACCCACATCTCTCAAATTAAATAAATGACTAACACAAATAATGATTATTAAAACCAATAATGGCAAATGACAACTTGATACTCAGATATGTACATGAATCTGCCACAGAGTTGGCACAAATAGCAGCATAAAAAAAAAAACAACCCTAAAACATTTTTTGCAGTGTATGGCATTATTAATATCATGACAGCATTCTTTACATATAAAATAAGTTTATTTTACATGTGTTAGTACTTTTCATCAAAAAACCTCTCTACAATAAACTGACTTTTCTACTCTATTTTTGATAGCTTTCACATGACAAATGTAAAAGGCACTTTCTGTGACCCAAGATTCAAACACTAGCCTGGGTTTAGGTTAATAGTTAACACAGGGTTTTTATCCACGGCTAATACTCCAATATGTTGATTCAAAACAACCAAAATATCACTCAATAATTCAAACATACAGTATTAATCATTCTGTCAAATTTCTTTTTCTATTCAAAATGTCGTAAGATGTGCATATCGTTTAGAACAGACCCTTCAAACAATTTGCTGCAACTCAAAACACAATAAAATGAATCTGAAATATTTCAATTCTCAAAAAAACAAACTATTTGTTGAAATTGAAAACAATGAATATTTAAATAGGGGGAAAATATTTGCTTTGACAGGCATTTTCCTGTCTGCAGAATTTCACATATGGCCAGCAATTCTCTACACAAGAGTTGTATATGAAAGCTGGTTATTGTGCATATTGTTCCTTTCCTTTTATTCATATGTTTTGTCTTGGATTTCAAAATGATTGAATATGTCGAGGATTACACAAGAAAGACACAAAACTTTATTGAAAAGGTCAATTTATGGCTTACGCTCTTGATAAAATTAACTGATTTGGCAACCTATTGCCATCTTGGAATACATACAACAATCTAAAAATCAACCAAACAATTATTTTTTTTTGACTTATTTTAAAAAAAATTTGGTTGCTAGCTATATTACTGTTTGTATTATAAATCAACGCAATCTAATGATAACTGTAGCATCTATAGACATGATTAAAAATGGTCAAAAGTTAACCAAAGCTTGTTAAAAATGCATTATGCAAGAGCTAAATCTGCCTATTGCAGGTCTTTTTTCGGCTTCAAATGTTCTATAAATTATTATTTAGACATTTATTCACATGACAAGCCTATAATCAACTCTCTATAGGAACGGATGTCTATGATATTTAATGGATTAGAACATCTACGCCATCTAATAATTTAATGATAAAATGGATAATCGAGACTTTTTTTATTATCGTAGCAATGGTACTTGACAACCATGACTATCTTGTCAAGATTTCAAAGTCATAACTTTGCCCAGAATCAAGTAATTTGAATGAAATTTTCAATATATTCATTTTGGATTATTCTATTTTTGAACTATTATAGCAACAATAGCCAGCTCTTTATCTAAATCTGACATACATAGAAGTACCTTCTTAATTCTTCTAATTATTTTTCATTCCCTGTAGTTCTTTTATCTCTATATATGTTGGACCTTTAAACCACTTCAATAAAATGTTTATCATAAAATGACAAATTTAGTATTCTTAGATAATATCAATATCAAGAGGCTTTGTAACAGTTTGTGCTTGACTGTCAAAAATGTCCAATATCTACCATTTTGACTAAAGAATATAAAACAAGTTTTCCTACTAACTGATATTTTAAAAACTAATGTGGATATGCACTAATGATTGGTATGACCATATACAATGTAACATTACCTTTCTAAAAAGCCACTTTTTATGTCATTTTATGATTAGAAATTTTATGATGATAAGCATTTTCTTAAAGCAGTCTAGAGGGATGTGTGTGGGGGGAGGGGGAGGGGGGGATGCGGCTCTTTAAAGAGAATAAAATAGTCAAAAGGCATCAGAGCTTCTACTCCCTTTACTTATACTACCAGGTTACGCCCGTTTAAAATGGCAAATGAGAATCTAATATTAGCCCAGTTACTCGTTAACATAGTTATTACTCTTATCCAGGGTTAAATAGTTTAGCTCTATACCAGCAACTGATGACATCATAAAATGAGAGCATATATTAATAAAATTATGAAATTTTCTAAATCTGACTAGAGTTACCTTTAATTTGAACATTTGGTGTAGGTAAGTAAGTACTTACAAAGTACAACATATTTAAGTAATTACCTAACTTTCTCAACATCAAAGTACAATCTTAACCATATTTTTTTTTATAAATAATATTTTGTAGCCATATGTTTACCCCATAAATAATGTCACTTGAAGATCTTTAAAGGTGAAATAACAGACTACTGAATTTTGTTTTCAGAAACTACACACGAAATAAAGCTGTGTATGGTAATAAAAATGATGTCTTAGTATATTTCAGGTAAAAAGTTAGCTAATTTCTGATATTTATATTAACAATATTTATAGACATGGAAGCAATTAGTAATCTATCCAAACTTTAACAAGCTAACAAACAATAAGCCTCTAAACACTATATAGGTATTCATGTTCCTTGTTTAGACAAGTGAAAAACACTTTTTCCATGTGTCAGCCATTAGCCCCGCTTGTTACACACACAATGACATTTGGTGCTCTTTATTAAGTTAAAGTTCATTATGTGCCGGTACTTTTTGGCATGATTTAGCTACATGTTACTATTGTTCGTGTAAATATAGTATGACTACATAGTCGTCTACATAACTACCATTTTTATTTCCTTTCTAGCATTTTACACACACCTTACATCAACAATACACGAAACATTTTCTGAAAAACCCTGCATGTACACTCTTCTCACTTCCACATTCAAACAATCATCTGCTTCTACCAAGCATGTACCATAAATATTTTGTTGGAAGGGTGGATGGATTGCTTCTTGCTCAATTTCAAAAGAAAGCAAATTTCTAACATTTTATTGGGCAAAAGAAAACATTAGAGAAATGTATTGCCTGGGTAACATAATGAATGCCATAACCAGGTATCATATAAAACATTTTATTGACAGAAGTTAAAACCAACTGTAAACAATCAAATGACATTGTATTAAAACAATTTACATATGTATTGTCCTTTGGAAATATTTTAAAATGTCACAAAGATTTTAATTTTTTCTTTTTTAAAGCTGCAATTTTTAAGATAATATCTAACTTTTCAGGGCTTTATCCATATAAAATGTACCAAGATTGATTATTTAACATTTGCTTAAAGCTACAATTTCATATTTTTAAGTTATATTTTTAAAATTTATTAAAATAGAGCCTTAAAATAGATGGTATCCATAAACCGTTCTACCTTGTTAAAGAATAATCCTATTAATCCTATAATTCACTATTGCCAGCTGAGAAATTGGCAAAAGTATCATTTTCAACTTCAAATTCCAACGTTTGAAGGTAGCTAATGCATGGAGGCAATAGGAAAACACGGGAGGTAATTGTGTTATTATTTCCTGTGTCAATGATTTTTAAGGGTGGTTAAATAATGCCCATGGTCGTATAATAGTGAGTTGATAACCTATTGAGCAAAGGACAGAAATAATTATGTTTTGACTTTCTTAGAAAATATGAATAATATGAAATTATCGCTTTAAAGAAACCTAAACAAAACTACCGTCGGTAGATAATTTCCCGCCTTGGATGCAATTGGATTTAAAGAGAGGACCATCCAAAGATTTTATCCAACACTTATAGGTGCCCTTGATTTGTTTATACTTTATTCATCATATCTTTCTAATAACAGAATGAAATTATTGAACCACCTTTTGATTGATATTTCTATTAAAGATTCAACTTTCACAATATCGTAGTTTGCAAGAGATTCAAAATACCTCAAATGACATCTAAAGCTTTAATAATGAATATTTTTATTTAAAGATATTTTGAAACAGAGATTGGAGAAGAATCACATGTAAACCCCTCTCCCTTAATTTAATGCAACATTTTTCAGACAAAAATGTTGTTAACCTCCATGCTGTGATGAGTTATCAAGTCAATTAAATATGTCAACTGAACGATAACCAACAGACTGTTAGCATTTTTAAATGAATCTTTATGTATAGACAGTCAATTTGAACAAAAATATTTCATTCATATAACCTCATTTCTCTGGTGAAAATGGAATGTTTGTCTATCAAAACATGCCCAAATGTCAAGGTAATAAAATTTGATTAAAATAAATAGAAGGTAAGTTAATTCTGTATATAAAGTATGTAATAGAGATAATACAGGAGATTAATATGTTATTTAATAGATTTATGGATTAACTTAAAATTTTATTATCACTAATAGTGATAATATCATTATTTTATAATATATAACTATTATCTAATCAAATAAAAAGCACTGATAAAAAAAAAACCCCACCAAAAAAAAAAACCATGCAAAGTTCAAGATATCTTATCAAGTTTTCTAATTTTAACCTGCCATATTTTGATACATATAACTATAAATTAAAGATACACCAAGTTATTTCTAATGTGTGTTTAATCATACTTTGTACTACTTGTCTTGTCTAAATGATTTAGGTACAAACTAATAACTACATGGAGTTTAATTTAAAATAATTATAACGCTACAGGAGTTTAAGTATGGTAATAGTACATTATGTGTGTGGGTATGAAGAGAAAACACAGATGGAGGTTTGTCATGCCAACCACGATCAGATTCGTCCATGCTTGCTCTAAAATCCTCATCCCCAGATCCCACAATCCAGTTTAAAAAAAAAAAGAAAAAAAGAAGAATGTAAATGTTAGGACAACTGTACAAACTGTGTTCAAATTTATGACCCAAAATCAATAGGACTCTTCCTAATATCCCACCAGGTTTTAAGAATGAATAAATGAAATTGAGGTTTAACGTCCTCCTGTTCTGCACCAACCGAGCTAATGAAGATGGGCATATGCCATACAGTGTGCTATGAGGAAAATTTTACACAGACATCAAGGGTTGTTTTACGTGCAGGGCATGGTGTACGCAGGACCTTGGTTTTTTGTACCATCCAAACAACTGTGCACTGTCCTTGCCAGACCCTCTGTCCTGTATCACTGACAAGGGGTAACCACACCAGAAGTTATATCAAGTATTTTATAGGGTCTTCTGTATATCCTAATACACAATTCCACCAAGTATTTGTAGACACACACACCAAACCATTTTTAAAGGGGCATTATGTAAGATTAGAGCTGGCAGTTCTCGCTATATTATTTAAAAAAATAGATGATGTAAAGGGAACATGTTGAAAATTTCGGTCAAATTACTTCACTCTGAGCCGAGATATTCTCATTACAATAACCTGTAGTCTCGATTGTCATTGCTACCGTTTTTACGACAATAAACAAAGTCTCGATTATCCATTTTTACGGTAAATTATCAACAGCCATTGAACCGCAGATCAAATTTAAATCAGTTGAAAATCTAGACTATGCGATGGCATTGAGAGTTGATTATGGTCTTGGTAAGTTGATTAATGTCTAATTAATAATTCATATAACATTTAATGCATAAAGAAAGACCTGCAATACGCAGATTTAGCTCTTGAATAATGCCTGCTTAAATGTGAGTATATAAACAGGGCTGCTAGACAACTAAACATATGCCTAATAGTCGTGCAACTTTGTCTTTCTTGTAACCTGATATTAATTGATGGATCCTGTGTGTCAATCATATCAAAAACAATAGTCAACAAGCCAACAGTGAGGCTGATGTCCCCCACCGAAATCCCAAAATAAATAGATGACACATACTAATTAATCGCACATTTATTTTTTTCAAAAGTATCAAGCAATCAAACTGATTATCAACTATACACTAAGTTTCATCATTCTCTATCAGATAGAATCAAAGTTATCTTGTCCCAAAGCATCGACCAATAAAATTGCTTAGCTCTGTTTAGCTTTAGCTCGAAATGTTAATCAATGAACTCAGTCAAGACACCCACCTAATGAACATCTACATCAAGTTTAAACATTCTACCTCAATTAAAAGCAGAGATGTCATGTTCCAGAGTCTTGACCAATGAAATTGCTTATCGATCCTTAGCCTAGGCCGAAAATTCTCATCATCAAACTTAGTCATGGTAATGATAAAATGTGAAAAGCTTACAATTAGCCATTAATTTTATTCATGTTTGTTTCTTTTATATTATTAATAAAGTGGGGTTTAACATCTTACTCTTCTGCTCCAACCAGATAATGAAGACAGTCATCTGTTAAATAGAATGCTATGAGGGATATTTCTTCCGAACAGTAGAACTACATCTTACTCTTATTTTCATTTCCAAATGTCAGGAGATCTTTAAAGGGCTAATAAAGATAGGCTTTGAGGGCTTTGAGGGTAATTGTGCAGGTCTGCAGTGTTACGATGTAATATTATTCTGATTTCCAACTATTAGGATATCTTTAACATGCTGTCATTGGTATATACAGGACCTCCGTTTTTCATCCTATCCAAACTCCTAGACTATTGAAGAGCTGGTTTATACACATATAGCATGATGTTTGTACTTGATAACAATAAGAGAATACTTGTCGAAACACTGTGCTATATGTGTATAAACCAGTGATTGTTTTCTATATAAATTGTATTGTGTTTTTTAATGTGCTAAATTGCTAAATGCCACTCAAGGATTATATTGAAGAGCTATATGATATTTAAGTTATAAGAATATTAATAAATAACCTACTCATATAACTTTGATGAGTTTCATCCTCTTCTTGTGACGAATTGTTCGTTTTTAATCTTTGAACAGATAAATAGGACTTGATTGATTCAGCTTCTGACATCCACTTCTGTATCTGAAATAACATTCACACAAAATTCACTAACGATTAACTAATGTTTATTGAATAATAAAACAATAGTCAATAATACCAGTATAGTTCAGATATTCAATATTTTACTTCAATCAAATATCCATTAAAGCTGCTAAGAGTTATCAATTGTAGTTTTCAACAATATCTAATTTTTCACAGCCTAATTGATACTAAAATGGACTTACATGTAACATTTAATTAAAAAACCAAAATATCAACAGTCTATCTCCCAGCTTTGATTCGATTAGATTTTAAAAGTCCATCAAAAGATTTTATCCAACAATTATAGGTGGCACTAACTGGTTTAAATGTAGCAGAAGATGCTGATTGTTTCACAATTTTGAATTCATCATATTTTGTACATACAGATTGAAATTGAGCATTTTTTTTACCTATGTTCCTTTTATATTCAACTTTCACAATATAGTAATTTGCAATGGATTCAAAATACCCCAAATGACGATCAGAGATTTTAAGGACAGGATATTTATATATGCACACAATGATAACAGGAACCGTATCTCAACAACAATGTATATACTGTCTATCATGTATGACCAGATATAAATATTACAACTTTGATTTAAAATAAGAAATAAAGTGTTTTGCGTTGATAATTATCAAAATTAACTTAACTGACCTCAATATTTAACATATCTTTTCTAGGACCAGCAGCTTCACCTGTATTATATATATAGAAAATAAAATATTATATATACAACAAAATATACTCTTTCTGGTTTACAGACATTACAATAGTTAGTCTATTAATTATCAAATTTGATCCAATATAGAGGACCAATAGGTCAGATCAGCCCACCCCTTTTTGTCACCCTATTGTCCCAATAAACAAATCTTTCCAGTTTTAAACAAATCTATTGAGAACTTTGTCCTCTATTGCTTTAGATGTCAAAATGTAAATCATTTTCGTACAGAACAATCCCACCATGGCTATAGTTTTAAAAACTTCATTGAAAACTTCAAAATAAAGCCACAAATGTCTACAAATTCTATCTAAAACCCTGTACTCTATCAGGATTACAAGACTTCATAAGCTGGAAAATAAATTGGGAGATAACACTGACAATTATGACCACATGAAGCACCTCTGTTAATTTGAAAAAAAATCTGACACAAACTCTGACATGTAGTGTGTTCACAAGAAATTGTGATACATGCCTATATCCATACTCCTTGCAGTGTTTCGTTTGATTGGAGTTAATCCCACTACTCACTACTCTAAAGAAAGCAAATTCTTGTTATAAATTATGACTGGTCAATAGTCCGATTAACAAACAATAGCTAACTGCGTAACAATACCAAACAGAGCTCCAAATTGGACCAAATATGTTTACATAACGTTACGTTATGACTCATGATTTTATTATGACCAATTAACAAGTGCATAGCAGAATACTGCAGAAAAACTAATTGTGTGACAAACGAGGCTATCAACACGGATATAATGTAAACAATATTGTTTTGAGACGAACAACAGGTTCACCATTTTTAATACCTTAAATCACTGTCCAAAGTTTTAGGGAAGGCCCCTGATTAAAAGAAGGGCTGTCATGTTGCTGTGCTTGGGGATAGATTTGATTGACCAGGTAGAATAGCCATGCTCCCTCCAAAGTTCAAGTATTAGAAGCTAATCCAGCAATGGCCAGAGAGGGATTTCTCGGGCCATTGCTACAGGAATATGGCCTATATCAGACACTAATTGTTATTATAGTAAATGTAATATTAGATTTGATTGACTAACCTGGTAATAATTTGAGTAATGCACCAAGTGACATTTCATAATGTTTTAAAGCTTGTTCAAACTCTTCTTTTTCTATCTGTAATACAAACAATATATCAGTAGATACACGTAGTTAAGCTAAACAAATCTCTTAAAAGTAAAACAGAATGACTTGACCACACGGCTGACTTGGTCACCAATAACATTTTTCTTTCAAACTACATTCAATATATGGCACAGACTGCAAGGTGACATCTTCATAACAAAATGGACATCAATGGGCGTCAGACTTAAATGGCTTAAGTTTTATTAATAAGAAAATTTCGCTTTACAAAAATTATCCACCCTAGTTTTGTGTATTAATTAGTTGTTAAAAATTCTCGGTGATTCTTTCATCAAATAAATCTTAAAATTAAAGTCAATTTTGTTTTTAAAATGAAAAGAAATGTTGTTACAGGTTGGGGTGACTTAACCATTTTGGACTAATTATGTTTTAAGCACATTGCACATTAAAAAAATTGAATCTTTTTTGGTTTTGTCCATTAATTATAACGTCCGTACCGGTAGTAAAAAGAAGACACTGTAAGATTAGAGTTAAAAAAAAACATCAAAGGATCAAACTCTTTACCTCATGATATGCAGCTTTTATAAGTCGTAAAGCGGCTAAAAATTCACTGTGATCACTACATAGTTCCACTGTAATTTAAAAGTACAAAATGATATGATTAAACATCTTTAAAATTCACTTACATCAACTTTAAAATCAATCTGATTAAAATACAGATCTATATTTCGTTTTTTTTTTTATACTTTCGATGGCCTAGAATACATGAAGATCTGACTAGTTGTACTGGGAGGTCGTATCAGGGGGGCATACAAGCGGCTTTTGACCCTATGATGTCAGACATTGATTAATCAATCAGCGTTGACATTTTTAAGGGATTACCCACAGTTCCGTGCAGAGCATGCCAAGAACTCTCCATAACAGCCCGTTTCATTGGCTAATTCCTCGCATCAACTAGAACGCCTGTTATATATCAACTCTTCCAGATCCTAGTGTTGAGAAGACAAGTAAAACAAAATTTTGAACAATAAAAAAACGAAACAAAATAGGATCTGTGTTTGAATCAGACTGGTTCAAAATATTTATATATAATGAAATGGAATGGGGTTTAATGTTGTACCTTTCTGCACAGACTGGATGAAGACGGGCATATGCCATACGGTACGTGTGCTTTGAGGAAACTTTTTACTGGACACAGCGCTACGGCCTACTCTTATATCAAATTCCAACTGTCAACGGTTCTTTTATGTGCATGCCAACACTTTATTTTTTTGTCTCATCCAAACAACTAGACAATGTCCTTGCAAGGTCCTCTGTTCTGCACCACTGACAAGGGTAAACCATGCTGGAAAATCCTAATGAACTGTCTCGACCAACACCTGGATCGAATATTGGTACTCCTGGTTAGTGAGCCATTATCTTAATCACTGATCCACCGTGGGCCCCATATTTCAACAGTAAAATTAGCAATCACTGTTACCACTAGTCTATAACATTACAATAGACATGCACAGTTACTCTTATTATATACTCTTAGTATAGTCAAAGCTGACTGAATCAGCAACCTAATCAAATTATCTCAAGATATCCTCAAAACATGCCACTCTTAATTCAATATCCTAAAATATAATGATATTAATACAAAATAAAATGCTTACTTAATGTAGATAATTTATCAGAATCCATTGACTGTTGTGATTGTTGATTGGTGGAATCTGTTAATTCTTGTTTTATACCTTGTAATGTATGTTCTGGTGAATGACCTGGTTTTAATAACTGTTTTAATACTTCTGCTCTCTTCATATATTCTTTAACCTTTAGAAAACAAAAATATGTCAACCCTACACAAATAGAAGTGGTATCAGGTGTTCTAGAAAAAGGAAGTACACAAAGTCTTGTGCACAGCACTTACTAGTACCTGCAGCTAAATGAAACAATAGTTTGAACTAGGATATCTTAGCCAAAGCTACTAGGTAGATCGATGATACTAAAGGTTCAATTTCGACTCCAAAAGCAGCAGAACCATCAGTCCAGTTTTTATTCATACCACTTTATTAATTGAAAAATTGAAAACATTTATAAAACAAATTATCCTGATTTATTATTACCACAACGCAAATATTGAAATACAATCGAAAGAATTTTACAGAAAGAAGGAACTAGTATAGCTACTTGCTTTTTACCGTGCACTTGGCTCCATGTTATATTATATTCAGAGATACTGCTATGACTGAATTACCAAAATGGATCCAATTTTAGGCATCTCTAGCACTAAAATTGGGGACTTCTAGCGACTACCAATGGTCGTTCGGTTGTCACTACCCCTGTTCAAGAAAAATCTTGGAGATATTGCTCCATGTTCAATGTTCAATTCTTGCAATTGTCAAAATATTTTCCTACCTTTCTACGTAAAATATTTTTCCTATTTGAATCTTCTTCATCTGTTAAGAAATATATACAAAAATGTGATAACAAGATTTTCAAGCATTCAATACAACATTCTTTGTAAATGTTTTTTAACAAAAAAAAAAAAAAAAGTATTTGGGTAAAATCTTTTTTTAATTTAATTATGTTTGATGTGTTGATATGTTTTTTGAAGTGTATCTGTTTACACTAGGTCTCCAGACTGGGATAGTACCATCAACGGTGGTAACATGTCTTTCAATGAATCCTAATCTAACACTTTATTTTGACCTAAATCAAAATGTTTTAGCTTGTTTATTGTGGCTCAAGGTAAACATAAAATGGTACAAAAGAAAAAAAAACCTTACAGCATAAATCATCCATAAAATTATAATTTGATAATGAAGGCTATTAATTATGACTCATTTAATACTATCATTATTGGATAATTAATTTAACATTCCAGCATAGACTTGATAAAAAAAACCTAAAATACAAACTTACAATGAATAGCTGGTATAAAATATTCTAAACCTTCAAAATATAATCTAACAGCAGCTTCATATTCACCGGCTTTATCATGTTCACAGGCTTTAGTTACTAATGCAGTCTGTAAAAATAGAAACAGTTACTGCATCAGCTAGTTTAAAGAAACTACAATCTAATAAATTATTTCTTTAAAAATAAAAAAAAATTATAATTCAGACACTCCTTTATTCATTTACATACATACATAATAAGTTTAGTTCATGTTGGTACAATTCAATCAGATATCGGTATCTAATAATCATTTGTACCGGTAAATGTGATATTTGTGGTCTAAGGGGAGATAATTCAGGGAGTATCTAATTAAAGTTTAAATTAATATGTTGTTCAACATTAAATAATCAAAACTTGGTACCTTGATTTGAGAAATAGATTTAACATATTTTGTGGTCTAAGGGGAGACAACTCTTTGAATATACGGAGGCAGACCACCATTAATTTCCCCATTGACTTCAATGTTAATTCTGGCCTCTTTGCCCACCTCCAACTTTTCCCCAAATTTTCGTTGGGCTGAATGCTTTTCACTACAGACAGAGGAACAAATGGTCATGTCTTTGCACTAAAATTTGTATGAGGTTGACCACCAAAATTTTGAGATACACAAACTTGAAGAAGCATACTAAAAACATGTAACTAGTTGCCGTACATATCGCCGTAGCTAACCTGATAACCCTCTTATCCTTCCGCCTCAAAATCATGAATATTTACCAAAACCTGGCAGAAAATGTTAATTCAAACCCTCTTCGTCCATTCTAGACCAGAAAATCAACACAAATGGGCATGCAAAAGGGGAGAAAAGAGAGAGAGAGAGAATTGCTATAAATAGACGAACTACAATTCGTGGGTACTGAGATGATGAAATTTAATGGTGGTCTGCCTCCTATATGGTTTTATAAGTTCATATATCATCAAAATTCTTTTCTTTATAGCTTCACATTTATTTTTGCAACATTATTATAATACAGAATCAGAAAAAAATAATTACTGCAGAAATGGTGACCCTTTAAAGTTATGTAGTGTTTTGTATACCGGATTGCAGCTCAGGTCCATGGGCCTTTTGTTCTAGAATTGAAGATTCTTTCTTAATTTTGTCGAAATGTGAGTTCTGCGAAAAGATTTAAAGAGTTTCAGACAAGTCACATCAAAAATATTCAAAATATTGGAATATTTTTCAAAAATTGACTTTCTTTTACCTTTTTCTACAAAATGGTCCATTTTTGACACTTTGTATGCCTCAAAATGCTAATATTTCCCTATTTCTGGGAAAGTCTGAGATGAAAAGCATTTATTTCTAGAAACCTTGGCCGGTATACAGGAAGACAAGCTGCAAATTTGTTGCATTGAAGGTAACTGTAAGGAACTATAGTGAAACCTGTAAGCCCACCCCCTAAAAATGTTGGTGTGGTAACAAATCCCACTTGTGTCCACATAAGTAATACTGTTGATGGAATATGGCTAAAAGCCATGTTCTTCTATCCCTGGCTTATATACATACATATAAACACAGTTTGTTATAAGAAGTATGAATTATTTATTAAAATATGGATTGATAAATGTAAAATAAATGCTGTATTTAGGTGACAACCAGCCACTCTAATAAAAGGGTCGCAAAGCACTATTTTTTTAAAAAAAATGGGAATATTTCAGTTTTTAAAATACTTTAACAATCAGAGGTATCCTTGAAATTACATAGTGTAAATATTATGTGGAAGCAAGTTGTTTTAATCTTTACATCAATGTCCTGACAAAATGAGATGGAAAAAGGGAGTTCTGACATAATTCAAAGCATAAAAGGGGTATGAAAAGACTATTAATTAATATTTTATTGCCCTGTAAGTGCTACATTTTCAAAGATCACCACAAATAATAGATTTACATTCAAAATGTAAAACATTAAGCTGCAAAAAACACATCTACAACATATCCATTTTGGGGTGTGGACTCATTTGGAAGAAATGTCATAGGATTACATGTTTGACCATAAACAAAAAGTCTTAGAAATCCTTGAAATCTTATATGTAACTATTTGTTTGTGTCAAATAAAATGCTCGGTTACAATTCAAGCACAAAATCAGATTACTGCTAATTTGGAGTCAACAAATGTTCAATTGAATATCCAAATATCATCTTCAAGAAAAGGGGTGGGGTGGGGAGGGTGAGCCAGTCTAAATGAAATGAAGACAGAGAAATTTCCCTGCAAACACATAGATTTTACTTTCTCGAGAAGGGAAATGCAACAATTTCAGGTTTTGAAAGATTAAAATTGTGTTAACCCTTTCACTGCGTATACCCGGTAGTACCGGGTATTATAAAATGTCGGTAAAATGCCCGTACCCGGTATTACCGTGTACTCAGTAAAGCCCTCGCTAAAATTAGTACCGTAACTGCAAGTGCCATCTTTTGTATTTTCTATACACTAGAACATATTTCCACGTGTTTCAAAGCAGGAAACCGTAAAATGGCGGAGTGCATTGTGACAACGTAGACGATGCACTCTCGACGAAGTCGTGAATGACGTCTTGCTGACCAACATGTGGACAATTTCGAGGCGGGTTTTACACATAATTCGTTTCCAGTTACTTGATAATGATAGTAGTCAGGACAGTGATTGGTATTATGAAGTGTGTGATTTTTTGCGCGACGTTCCGCCCATGGCTAGCTATGTCTCCCGTGCATGATGAACAAGCCCAATGTGAACACGATAGCCCTGTGTCTGCAGTAGATTCTGACAATAATTCTGATGTTGATAATAATGCTGGCCTGCTGGATCGTAAAATACGTAGGTAATTCCTGATTCCCGAACGTGTAGATCTATTGACTGACTATATTGATAATGATATGGGACTTGGGGATGAAAGTGAAAGTAAAAACAAGGTATTGCAATCCGCACGTGGTCATGGCAGCGGGAGACGTGATGCGCGTGTTCGCGGCGGCATTGCTCATGGCTGCTATTGATATTTTTGTTCATTTTATATATCTTTATCAAAATCCAGTAAAAAAAACAATATCTTTTAAGTATTTCATGGAGAAAAATTCGTTTTCGTGTTAGCTTTAGTGTGAAATGAGAAATCCAAAATGGCCGCCATGACGTCACGTGACTACATTATTATGCAAATTTCCAAAATTCTATTTTTTCCTCTTAGCCCAACCTCATGCCCATCCCAACAGACAAAAAGATTTTTCATAAAAGCTTCCATAAGTACTGCTTGGCATTCAGTTCCAACCTCCCTTTTTTCCTCATTAAAGGGTCTAGCACAGGCAGTGGATTTACGTCTAGCATTGAAAGGGTTAAGCCTGAGGAAAACAGCAGCAAAATGCAGTTCACTCATGTTTTGAAAATTCTAACACACCTAAGCAGAACATAATTAGACTAAATTTCTTAATTTTTAAATTTTTGACAAACACATGAATACTTTTTCAATATCTGACAAACACATGGATCCTTGCCAAGTTATTTAACAATGAAAATAAAGACATGCAAGACATTTTGGGTCATTTTACAACAGATGAATAATTAAAATTTTGACAGCAATATTGGGGGTAATCTGAAGAATTTCAGACAATTTATCATGATTTTTAGGCAAAATTGAGTGAAATTATGATACTTTCTTCCCGTCTAACAATTATAATGCAGAAAAAGTAAAAATCATACATTAAAATATTTTCCACTAATTTTGAAAAGTAAGTAAACACTGAAAATCACAAAATTTTGACTAAAATCAAAATTTCCCCTCCCAAATTTGTCAAATATTTTTTGAAATTTTACCATTTCACATTTTTTACTATCAAAATGCCATATATCACATTTTCTGACAATTTGGAGATCATATCATCAAATTTAGGCCTTTCATCCACTGTCAGGTTGTTTTCATATAGGAGGCAGACCACCATTAATTTCCCCATTGACTTCAATGTTAATTCTGGCCTCTTTGCCCACCTCCAACTTTTCCCCAAATTTTCGTTGGGCTGAATGCTTTTCACTACAGACAGAGGAACAAATGGTCATGTCTTTGCACTAAAATTTGTATGAGGTTGACCACCAAAATTTTGAGATACACAAACTTGAAGAAGCATACTAAAAACATGTAACTAGTTGCCGTACATATCGCCGTAGCTAACCTGATAACCCTCTTATCCTTCCGCCTCAAAATCATGAATATTTACCAAAACCTGGCAGAAAATGTTAATTCAAACCCTCTTCGTCCATTCTAGACCAGAAAATCAACACAAATGGGCATGCAAAAGGGGAGAAAAGAGAGAGAGAGAGAATTGCTATAAATAGACGAACTACAATTCGTGGGTACTGAGATGATGAAATTTAATGGTGGTCTGCCTCCATACATACTCATAAATTCAATATAGTTAATTTGTATAGCAAAATGTTTGATTTACATGTATATACGGTACATGGGATTTGTGAACCAGGAGTCTGTACTGGCATATTTAAATTTTGGACAGGATAAATATGTAAAAAATAAAATTTTATACTAACAGCTTTCTCAAGGGCCTTGGAATTTGGTGTATGGCACAGATCTACAAATGGATGTGCAAAGAATTCCTCAAATGATATTCTGTCATCAGGGTTTCTCTTTAATAATCTAAGTACGAGATCTCTAGCTTTGTCAGATATATCTACACCATAGGGTAACTGAAAACATATAAAAAAAACACGCCAGAATTAGTGATCAAATATATACTCTTCAAAAAAAGTAGGGGATATTGAAATGCAAATACCTATGAACGTTATGATATGATAAATAGTCATGGTCACTTGACATGGTTTGACACTATGTTCACAGATGAAGAACTTATCGCCCCAAACAGAACCACTGAGCTGCACATGCGACACACAAGAGCACCATACACGTGGGAAGGGTTCATTGTCAAATTTGACACTGCAAGGAAGGGTTGATGAAAACTGCCGCTTGCTGGTTTATCCTATCCATGTTTACTTTCCTATCGGTTCTTGCATAAGATTTATGTTTTTAGCGTAACTTTGCTATAGTGTGTTACGTTTAATTTGATCGGGAGACGTGTTCGTCGACGTCAACATCAACCGACAACACTGCAAGAATTGGCCGTGGCACTGCAAGAGGAGTGGGTCAGATTGCCCCAAATCGTGATTGGACGGTTGATTAGGAGCATGCCACGATGAATTGCTGAATGTCTGAGGATTGGTGGAGCAATTACTCATTATTAAGACAAAAATCAAAAACGTCCATTTTCACTTTTGACAGTGTATCTCTTTGCGAGTGAAATGGGGCCGTCAGATAAGCCGCCCATATGAACTGTTTATGTTCATGTGTAGGCAATTGGCCTGTTATTAACATACACTGGTTATCTCTAATAAAAACAGCAGTGCATTTCGGCAGTTTCGTATTGTTTCTGGATATCCCCTACTTTTTTTAAAGAGTATATAATCTTCATTATTACATATTGGGTTATTCACATAATTAAGACCAAAGGTCCAATGTCATTTAAGGAGGTTCATTTAATTGGTTGATTAAAAAAATACTTCTTATTTTAATATAGCCTAATTATACTTTATGTATACATGGAGCAGTGATGGGATTTTGCCCGTATATTTCGGACTTGTCCGAATCTTTTTTCCAAACGCCCAAAATTGTCCGACCGGGAATATGCCCAATCAGACATCAAGACATGGTGAATAATATTCAAAATTCTGAAAGTAATAGTTTACTGATTGTATAACTACCACTCAAACCGATTATCGTCGATAATATGCTGGATTGATTAGGTAATTAAGTGATCAACGTATTTATCGTTTTATACCATCTATTAATAACCTACCTTGATTAACTACTTAATCTGCCTTGATTGACCGACTTAATCCTTTGTCGGACAGTTCATCAATCTAGTTCTAAACAGAAGTCTTTGTTTCCCCTTTGTCGGAATATTCATCAATCCAATAACTGATTATAATTTTAATCCTTGTGTTTACCTCGTGGTTTCTGCATTGTCGGACATATTAATCGCATTGATGTGAGTCGAGTCAGCCCACAATATGTATAAACTATAGATGTCACATATTGTAATAGACATCAATAGACAGTCATTATAACTTTCAACATGCTTCGATTCAATATACATTGTATCCGATAACTTGTCTGTGATATTCCTTCGGTGGAAGCCAAAGTTAAATAAAGCTATTTCACACACACGCATGGTTCTAGTAAAGTAACTCAAAATGAAAGTAGTCATCTCGCGAGACACGTGAAATTAAGAGATTTATGTTTTTAAATTAATAAATAAACACGCTAAGAAATGTTGATGACTATGTCGATTGGAATAAGGTTAGTTAATTGTTTTAGTAAAGTAACTCAAAATGAAAGTAGTCATCTCGCGAGACACGTGAAATTAAGAGATTTAAACGTGCCGAATCAAATACGCCTGATGTGAGAGAAAAGATTCTATTTTGATGGCATATTGTCGGATTTATGATCATATTTTGAGTGGGGTTTATGTTTTTAAATAAATAAATTAACACGCTAAGAAATGTTGACGACTATGTCGATTGGAATAAGGTTAGTTAATTGTTTTAGACGATAGCGCGTGCTAGAGTCGAATGTGATTATTTAGCTGCAGTTGGTGTCCCTCGCTCGTTTTTGAGCGACGTTTACTACGAAATAAATTTCGGGATGTCAGATTTTTCCTTTCGTATATAAATCGAAACGGAGTATGAGATGAATGTCGGTCTTTGCTGAAAAATGTATCGAAATATGACGCGAAAAATACGGTAATTTGGGGGGAATTTGAAACAGGTACCGATCGACAGTAGTCGTCAAACTTTCATTCTATGGTATTACGATGTCATGTAATTTTGTAAGAATATTATTGACATAAATTTTAATACCGTACGGGAATTAAGCATGAAAAATAACGAGGTGAAGATATTTTTTTATTACGTATAAATTTGAATATTTTGTTGACATGTGATTCTTAATTGTGGTTTAAAAACGTCTGCTTAAATAACGATAAGAGTTATGCCCCTTTATTTTCGGGAAAAAAATGTCCGACAAGAAAATTTTTGAAATCCCATCACTGACATGGAGGCAAGGTAAAAGAAATTGTATATATTTGTAATAAAATCTATAGCAGTTGACTTTCTTTGTGCATTTTATACTACATACCTCAACAGACTTATGATCCCAAATCTTTGCTCCTAATTCCTTAAAACTTTTTGATGCAAATGGTGCTCTTCCAAATAAACATTCTGTAACAAAAAAGTAATTACCTTTCATTTATATAAAGTTAATGAATTTTGCTTCAGGACTGAAACATCGATTATAAATAAGTTACTAAATTAAATATGGACGACATAACACCTATCAAATTTCAACAAATATAAACATGAAAAAATCTGTCCTAGTGAACTTTGACCTGTAAAGTATGCAGAAGAAATTGTGGACAGACATAATATAGACATAAATATGTGTACATAAAACTGGCAGTTGTAAAAACATTAGGAAAGATCTGCTGTAAGACTCTTTAAAGATAAATTCTCACAAAAGTATTTATCGGTGGTTATTTTCATTAAAAGTATGGTAAATTTGGTATAATTGGAAAGTAGAGATGCCCAATCTTACTACAAAAATACCAGCTTCTAAATATAGACTTTTTATGACAAGGGGTATTTCTATTAAAAGTATGGCAAATTTGGATAGTAGAGATACCCAATCTTTAGAAAAATACCGGCTTCTAAAAAAATATTTTTTTATGTCTTGGGGTATTTCCTCACGAATACAATGTCTTGAGAGGGATTTGAAGCAAATTTTTGAATACGTGTATGTTTTTAGTCCAAATATTATCATCAAATCACCCAGTTGATGCGGAGAGGCATCTAGAAGAAATTGATGTATAGGTATTTTTATCAAGAAAAGCTAATAGTATATTACCATATAAGATGACTCCTATAGACCAGAGATCTACTCTAGCATCATATGTACCATGACAGATTATTTCTGGTGCCATATATAATGGTGATCCTCTCATTGTATACAATGTATCACCATCATATAGATTCTTAGCAAAACCAAAATCTGAAAATAATATAGAACCTAAGGTATTATCTCCCTTTTAAATGCAATTCAATAATACATTTTCCTAAACGTAAATAGGCATTAAACATAATTACTAATACTTTAGAATAATATTGATCATATTGAACTGTCCTATCGAAAATGCAAAGACTGACCTAATTAGAAAAAGGTATTTTTCACGAGTGTGCGTTATGCTCCTTTAATTGAAATTTTAGATTGAAAATGACATGCATATAGTTGTGACTTAAATGGTGATTTAATTGGCAGATTTGTATCAAATTTTGCATAAAATCTAATTTGAACACTCCTGATGAGGCAACTGTATAATCAAATCAGGTAAAATAAATTTTTTCCTACTGTACCGTAAAAGACAACAAAACTTGAGTAGATAAAATTAGTTTTACTTATAAATGGCATGCAGTTCTAGCCACCGGTAATTGAAGTATGTTACCTGCTAATTTTAATCTAGGATTAGTTGTAGACGTTAGAAGTATATTTTGTGGTTTTAGATCCATATGTGCCACATTGTTATCCCATAAAAACTTCATAGCTTGGGCTGCAACAAATAAAGTACATATTGAATATTTTGTGGTTTTAGATCCATCTGTGCCACATTGTTATCCCATAAAAACTTCATAGCTTGGGCTGCAACAAATAAAGTACATATAGAATACTTCATAAAAATCGTACCCACTACGATAAACTCTAAAAATATTAAAACAATAAGACCATTTTGATTAGGGTCATAAATCAAAATTGTTGATTTTACTTAAATTTATGCATTGATTTGTTTTGTGGGATGAAAATCTGTCATCATTGAAAATGTTACATTGCATAAACTAACATAAGTGATCAAATACACTTCTAAAACATCTATCGATTGGGATCCTGAATAAACAAAACAAGTAGTTGAATCGCATGTAAGATTTAGATAAAGTGCTGACCATTCTTGTATAATAGTTAAAAAATAGATAATGAGAAATTAAAATATTGAAAATTTCATTCAAATTACTTTATTCTGAGTTATGACTGTATTAAGATGTAGTGTAGATTGTCTATCATGGTAGCAACTGTACTTGGCAATCGAGGTTAAGTCTCGATTATCCATTATATTGTGAAATCTTTAAATCTTGCAGGGCCCTGTTTCACTAAATCTTGAAAATACAGTTCTCACTATAATAGTTAAAAACTAGATAATGTAAAGGCAATTTGCTGAAAATTTCATTCAAATTGATCAACTATGAACTGAGAACTAAGCGATTGAAATTTACGCCTAGCCTCGATCATCATTACTTAAGTCAGTACAATAAACAGCCTAGTCTCGATTATGTATATATGTTTAACTAAAGATAAAATCCAAATTTTAGTAGATACTTCAATTTTGATTGGCTAAGCACTAAAATCAGTCTAATATTATCCAATCAAATTACTAAAATTTGGATTTTATCTTAGTTAAAATTTCATGAAACAGGTCACTGGTGTTTTAATCCATTTAATTCTCAGCCATTTGATGGTCTAGGGAATTGATTATAGGCTTGTCATGTGAATAAATGTCTAAATAATAGTTTAGAGGACATGTGAAGCCAAAAAAAAGACCTGCAATAGACAGATTTAGCTCTTACATAATCCATCGTTAATGAATGAATTATGTTTTCTTCTGACTTTAAGAGAGATCAGAGATGTTAGAATTGTTTCCTACTACTTTCTTGTCCAGTATTATCTAATGGCCCAAGAACATAGATGTTCAAGAACATAAGATAGAATTATACATTTTAACTACTAAAACTTTCCATACCAATTTGTTGTAGAAATCGTCTTACAATCTGCTCAGGTAAAGCTCTCTTTTTCCTAATAAAATGACTAAGGTCTCCACCACTGCAATATTCCATAATAAGATATATATACCCATCATCCCACTGTAATAGAAAATTGAACATTAAATTAAAAAATTATTGGTTTGCATATTACATATGCTGTTCTGCTCCAACTGGATTAATGAAGATGGGGTGGGGTGGGGGGGTGGATACGCCGTACAGTGTGCTCAGAGAAAAAATTTTGCCTGGCGAGCAACAGCCAATTACTATACATTGTCCCTTGCCAGACAATGGAGAACCATGCCGGAAAATCCTGATGGACTTTCTCGGCCAACACAGGGATCGATCGAACAGGGGAGTCCAGGTTAGTGAGCCACATCTTACTCACTGAACCAACATGGCTCCGTGGTATAAGTCAAGACATGATTGTAAAAATCTATAAATGATTTAATAAAAGACATCAGATCATAAGTGTTGTGTTTCCCTATACTCTGTATAGCAAATAAAAGTCAGTATTGTACCCAAATATTCTTAAATAAGGACACTGTAGTATCTATCCTGGAATATAATCAGAGATCCTTCAGGAACTCTTGGAAGCAAAGGTACACTATAATAAGCTGCATCACCCAAAACTTTCTTTTGGAAATTCATTGAATCAGTATCAATGATACAGGAAAACAATCAAGAAACAGACTTAGACCTTTCGAAGTTTGTTTTGTCAATTGCTTTTTTAAAAACACTTCGCCTTCAATGAATTTTAAAGAGGTGATTCCTTCAATGCCTGTCTGTGTGTCGTGTCTGAAGGTTTTGGTTTACAGTAAGAAACATACACACCAGATAGGCTTACCCTGAAATCTTTAAGTTCCACTATACTCTCATGTTTAAGTTTTTTAAGTAGTTCAATTTCTGTAAGCAGATTCTCGGTTGATGTTTTATTCAAGCTGCTCTTTAAAACACATTTCACTGCAACAACTTCTCTAACACCAGTCTGCAAATGTATAGACTATAAATATTAGAGAGACAGAAATGAGGTTTAACATCCACAGTCTTCGACATTGCAAACAGGACTTATTGGTCAGTTTAAATCAACATTAATGTTTTTATCTTACCGTAAATAGATGTGCTTCTGATATCTAATATTTAAGACAAAATGAACGAATCACGTGCCAGAATGTTTTCGAGCGCCTTAATTAATGAAGTAACTTAATGAACGAGGCTAAACATACCCCACAGGAGAATGCTACTGGAATAACCAGATGCCTAAGACTCCCATGGAATTTGGCTGCTTCGTGTATTTCGCCGAAAATAACTGATTAAAAATTACAGTAAAAACAGAAAAGATTGAATGTAAATTAGTTTATATACATTCATAAATAATACATTATTATATGCGTTGCGACCCATTTGTGTCCCTTTCTAGGTGCAAAAGAATAGAGATTGAGCTCCTTTAACATTTATAACTTATAACAACTATGAACTTGATCAGTTTGGTACTACTACTAATATATTTATTCATGGAATTTCACGAATGACCCAGGCAGGCATGCCACCCCACTCCTTATTGTTGGGTCTATTAACAGGATTAAATTCACATCAGACGGACATAGATGACAAACTGTGAGCCATAATGCTAAGTCTTACAATACAATCCTTTTGACTATTAACTCTAATCTTTTTGTTTTTAGCACATTACCAATTATGAAAGTTCCTGGGTTCCACATAATTCTTTTTCAATTACAGGTACATAGAAACTACAAACATACATTCATGTACAGATATAAAAGAGATATAACATAAGCATAATTTGGGGCTAGTCTTTCAGTATGTCCACCACTGAACAACCGGGATAGAGATCAGGCAATGTGCATAGTTTCACTAGTTTCAGCAAAATGATGAAGACATTCATTAACAATAATATGCTCCAAAGTCAATCATATCATATGAATGAAGTCAACGTTATAAGGATGATTTTGGCAAAATCATGGGAATCGTCATATGTAAAAAAATAATGGCTATCTAACATGAAGAGTTTGAAAGTGTAAGTCAGGACCTGATGAGTCATACAAGTAAGAACAGATTGAGATAGAAAAAAGGGAAATTGAATGGTTACGTATTTCCCCATTTTGTTAATAAACAGTGTGGGGAAGAGAAGAAGTTATCCTTTTGTAAAGCACCAACAGATATAACTCTAAAAGATAGCAACACCTTTCTGTAAGCTTTATAAACAGTCGCGTATGTTCCACTGCCAAGTTTTTCTGTGAATACAAAGTCTTTTAGTTGTGGAATAGCAGTAGGAGCAGACGAAGGTCTGCCCGCCATCTTTCACATCACGTGATCTTGATTGAGTTTTCTACTCTTATCGAATTGAAGAGCACCACAACAAATAGGTCCTAGTGTCAACAACTTTTAACGATTATGTTTCTTAACAAAGCCCTTTAACATGAAACGCAGATAGATACAAATCCAAGACATGCATCTTTTTAGAAAGAAAACCTATTCCCTTGCCAGAAACAGATTATTTGAGTAAATATGACATATTTAGATTTATTTTTCCACAGTGAAAGGTCGTAACCAAGGCGTTGCTGACGAATGCATTATGATTAAATAGTCTATTCAATACACATGGGCTATGTACACGGAGTTGCTATTTATAATAATAGATCTACATTCATTAGTCCATTATAATATTCCTCTAGAGAATAGTTTAGGATTTATTAACTTTTAAGGTAAGTATAAATGGTACCATTAATTTTACATGTATTGCGTGCAGAGTTTCAGTTCAAACAACAGTAGGCTACAGTACTCAGTAGATTATCACTGCAGATATCAATGATTAGCACATATCTGAATGAAGACACCTTATGATTTTTTAATCATAGAATAACACTACTGCACTAGTTGAAATGTCTTTTTTATTGGTAAGTGGTGTGTTAAGTTTAATAATAATTGATTATAGCTATGACCTATATGCACTGCCATAAGTTGTGGAGGGGGGTTTTTTTTCGTGTTTTTTTTGGCTATAAGCAAATTAAGGCATTAACACAAATATTAAATCTTATTGTATTGATTGAAATTGGACTATATTACTATTAGACAAGGATGTATCAAGCTGTAATTATAATACAAGCCTATACAGTAATATACTGTATGATAAATAACCTTTATTATAATCACACTTAAACATTGTTTGCCTGTGAAAATAATGTGATTTACTAATTTTGATTTCAATCTACTGTTCCATTTGGATACTTTTAATAAACATTTAATGATTTTATAATTTTTTTTTACGTTTTCAGATGGTTGCGTAAATAAAATCAAGATGAAACCGAGAACAGTGGTCTGCTATATTTGTGGTAGAGAATTTGGAAGTAAATCATTACCTATCCATGAACCACAATGTATAAAGAAATGGCAAATGGAAAATGACAATCTACCAAAACATTTGAGACGTAAGCCTCCTGTAAAACCAGAAATTCTGCCATCTATAGGAGGGAGCGGCAGTGACACTCAGCGTCTGAATGAAATGGCATGGCAGAGTGCCCAGGCCAATTTATTAGCTTGTGAAAATTGCGGTAGAACATTTAACCCTGACAGACTTCCAGTACATCAGCGAAGTTGTCGACCAGGTAAACCAATGAATCCAATAAAAGGAAAAGATAGCGGAGGACGAGAAATTCTGCGCCCTAAAACAGCTACATTAGATGGTCCAAAGGTCATTGATAAACAGTCGACCCAAGATCTAGCAGGAAGACAACCCTCCGATAAGTCAAGTAATAGAAGTGTAAATAGCCAGTCCACCTCTCAAAGGGTCAGTCGACAAGAAACATTTGTTGCCAAGAATCAGAAAGAACCACCGAAAAAACAACAAGCACCTAGATTTGTATTGTGTTATATTTGTGGACGACAATTTGGTACACAATCTATAGCTATTCACGAACCTAAATGTCTAGAAAAATGGAAAGCAGAAAATAAACAATTACCTAAAGAGCAGAGGAGACCTCTACCAAAAAAGCCAGAAGTTATTGGATCATCAAATGGAACCGTTGATTATAATGCTATGAATGATGCTGCGTGGCAGGCGGCACAATCAAATTTGGTGCCATGCCCCAACTGTGGTAGAACTTTCAACCCTGATCGTTTACAAGTTCATCTACGGGCCTGTAAACCTAAAGATGGCAGCTCTCCAGCAGTACAAACCACACCGTCTGGTTCTAGTAATGTTGGCAGTGTCACTGGATCAAGTTTTGGAGGTGACGTATTGACCTTTTATACAAAAATGATATTTCTAAAATTTGATAGAGGGTAACATGCACTTGAAAGATGAAATGCTTTCATCAAAAAAAGGCCCAAATGGGAAACAAATGAATAATGTAGAATTTTTGAACCCTCATATGTTTATTTCTGAGATATATGAATTATTTGTAAGAGACTTTTTCAAGATTTGTAAATGTTATTTCAGGAAATGGGGGGTTGGGTGGCCAAATGGTTAACATGTGTGCGTTGTAACATAAGGTCTTTCATTGAGTCAAGTGGCGTGGTTTCGATTATCTTGCTTGTACGTGAAAAGAAATAGGGTCGCCTGTCCAGCCTCTTGGTTTTTCTCTGGGTCCTCCAGTTTCTTCCCACTGCTAAAGACCCCTACGCACAAGCAAATTATTAAAATAAAATTGAACCAATTGTTAGTCTCAAAATGACCTAGTTTGTGTCGAGTGGACCTTAAACCTCATTTCTCTCTCTCTCTATTTCAGGAAAACAAAGAGATGCATCTCCGGAGAAAGGACCTCGTACACTGGTATGTTATATTTGTGGACGAGAATTTGGAACAAAATCTCTACCCATTCACGAGCCTCAATGTCTAGAAAAATGGAAGGTCCAGAACAAAAAGTTGCCTAAAGAACAAAGACGACCATTACCCAAGAGACCTCAAGGTTTGGGAGGAAATGGAGAAATAACTAGGTAGGTTAAATACAGGGTATTATCTATTACACATATTCACAAAATGATTCAAAATTTTATGAGGAGATACTAGAAAATATATCTTAGTCCAATCGCTAAGGTCAATGTTTTCATAGAATCATTCACTTTTTGACAAAAGCATGAAAATTGGCATATAGGTAGTTTTTGATGTTCTCTTTCGAATAAAAGCATGACACACGTGATCTGACCTCTATTGGACGTTAAATCTGTAATAAACAACAACAACAACGATCTGACCTCATTTTCAGCCGCCATTTTGAATTCAATAAAATTGAACAGGAGGATCAACTAACTTGAAAATTCACCCACCATGTTCATTCTGTTATTGGTCACGTTTGAGTTAGTTGATCCTCAATTTTATTTCCTCCGTTTATTCAAGTTTTACATGCTCATCAAGTTAACTAGTAATCTAGAAATCATTTATTATTGTTAATATTTTAGTGAGTTTAATCCGAAAAACGCATGAATGTCGAATTCAGTCGTTTTCTAGAGAAACTCTGCAATTCTTGAAAGCTAGGAGAATGAAAGTCGGATATGCGTGTTTTCAGTAACTACACTTGAAAATATGACAATGATAGCACTTCTGGTGAATTCAGTGGGTGCTAAAACATAGATTTCGACACTAAGATCAAGTTTCTATCATATCGTGAAGCCAAAATCTCATATTTTGGAAGCAGACAATTTAATTCTAAAATGGTGGCCGAAAATGTGTGTAATGCTCTTATTCATAAGAGAACGTCAAAAACTATATGCCAATTTTCATGCTTTTGTCAAAAAGTGATGATTTTTTTTTACTTAAGCGACCCGACTATCTATACTCATATTCACAAATCCATAGATCTGTTTTCTTTAATTTAAAATCATTTTTGAGGATCTGAAAATATGTAAGTGTAACTGAATAAACATCAGTAAATTAAATAAATCCTCAACTTCTTTTCATAAATTACGAAATGGATTCCATCCAGAGTGATTATTCATATTTGTTCAAATGAAATTGATGAGGTCTGTAACTGGGCACATTTTCACATTTTTGTAGACTAATTCGCCTAAACTACGTGATGGATGAGTATTTTGGTTGGATGGTGTTGACAGATTTGTTTAAATGTTGCTTTGCACTTCTGTTATGGGACAGAAGCAAATTTTGACACTGTTAACTTTTCTTCTAAACCACTTAACTGATTCCAACCGAATATTACCTGGTAGATATATGTTGCTTGAATGGTTATTATTACAGTTCTTGCCTGCGATATCGTGGAAGCGGACGTTAAAAAAAGCTATTTCACACACACATTATTACAGAGTGTTGGCTTTTCATCTCTTATGCATATATGAGTATAGAGTAGCAGGGCTGGGGTAATGGTAATGGTAATGGAATGTAATCATTACATTTTTTAAGTAATGGCCATGTAATGAGTAATGAGTAATGGAAATGTAATTAATTACATTCCAAAAATCATGTAATGGTCAATTACATTTCAATTACTTTTCAATTACATTTTATGACATATATAAATATTTCCAATATGACAAGCCTCAAATTTTATAGCACCAAAGAAGTAATTAAGTGTATCTGACACAAATCCAATTCATTATAATTCTAAAAAAAAAAAGATTTAAATCAGTTTTAAAAAATTATAAGAAAAATAAGAAGGCATTAAACATTTTCTTTATTACTTTTTATGTAGGAACCTTTTTTAGACATGTAACCTAAGAAGTGGATTTCTGATAAGATGTATCTTATAATCAAAGATTAGTACTAATTTGCAACCAATCACTCAGTCAATCAATCAATCAATCAATCAGTCAGTTAGATTAAAAGACAATAAATAGTCTTACTGCACTTTAATCTTAATCTCAAGGTAACAAGTGACAAACCAAACAATGACCTTCAAGTATCTCATCATTTTGGTTACATCTCACTGTGCCCACTTTTGATTAATCCAATTAAGGTCTAATTAGGATTAGTGTATTAAGCGGATTAGGAATAGGTGTTATAGATAATTAGATGGAAAAAAACAAATATTGAAAGTGACTAAATATTCAGTCTTATAATTGGTGAGATGAACTCACTGTAATCGTTAAAGTGATGAATTTTATTTAAAAAATGACACTTGAATATAATATGAATTATGTTCAGTAAGCCTACACATTACACGGTCTTTATAAGGACACACATGGCAAACGTTCAAGTAAACATCCAGTACATCCCCAATGCTCAAGGTGGAGAAAACTTAGTCCATGAAGAATACAAATTCCGAGTGAAGAATAGGAAGGCAGAACGAGTATACTGGAGATGTTGTATAAAAGGTTGTCCAGCAACATCGAAAATTCGTATATTTTCATTAAATTATAAAGTGCTAATGTGATGTATGATATATCCATGTATGTTATATTTTTATTAAATATATATAAAACATCGAAAAATAAAAAAAAAATTACATAAAATATTTGGGTTTTTTTTCCATCTAATTACCTATAACACCTAATCCTAATCCGCTTAATCCACTAATCCTAATTAGACCTTAATTGGATTAATCAAAAGTGGGCACAGTGAGGACACACCATCATTTTATGGTTACTTAAAACTAATATATATTTTGTTTAGAGTCATGCTGAATAATTTACCATTTATTATACAATATATTATAGAAAAACTATTTGGACTGATTAAAATTTTTTAAAAATTACTTAAAAGAAAATACAGTTAATTAACTATAGTTTTGATTCATTTTTCAAGTCATACAGTGAAAATGTCAGTTTTTGTCACCACTGCCCGTCACTATAAAATTTGCCTTGATGTTATAATTGCTAGAAATAATAATTCATAAACAAATATCTATTAAGTGAATCAAGGATTATTTTGAGTTTGATTTTGTAGGTACTTCATGGCAGAAAAATAATGTTGTCTTTTTTATTTCTATGAAAATGTTTTTTTATTTATATAGTCATAAACTAATGGGTAATGGTAATTAATTACTTTCAATGTAATGGATAATGGTAATTAATTACATTGCTAAAAATGAGAAAGTAATTGTAATGATTACATTTAAAAAGTAATGGTAATCGTAATGTAATTAATTACATTGGCAATGTAATGGCCCCAGCCCTGTAGAGTAGGGTTGCTAGACTCCAAGAACAGTCAGATTAGACATTTTCTCATATTGATATGTATTTATTGATATCCCAATTAAACCCATTTGGGCTCTTGTTTTCTTCATTAATTTCAAGCTATATGTAAGTTAATGGCTTGATATTATAAGTAGGCTATCCTACGATTTGGATAAAACTAATTTCCAACTTTTAACTTGCATTACACCTTTTTAACTACACTATATATGGTGGTTGGGTTCAAAAGTCCTACATGTTTGGCATTTAGTAATAAACCCAGGTCAGTCCCCCAAAAACCTATTATAAATATTGTTTATATCAAAGGGATCAGATGAATGAAGCAGCGTGGCAGGCATCGAAAGAACAACTGGTTCCATGTCCAAATTGTGCAAGAAGATTTGCTCCTGATCGTTTACCTGTTCACTTACGTGCATGTCGACCTAAAACAAGTACAATACGTAAAGGTGGAGGACCTGTCGATAAGGAGGTTGGTAGATTTTTTTTGGTTTTTAAAAACTCTAGCTTTATGAGACGAGGAATAAGTAGTATTTATAGCAGATTCAATGCGACCACATTCTTCATGCGTTCACAATCATGACTAAAGCTCTGTATTGCTGAAATTGATAAGAGTTTAAAAATTTAAAACAGAAAACATATACATATTTATATTTATGATACATCTTTTCTATTCGGTTCTATGGCAGTGATCAGATGTTGAAAACAGGACATGTACTTGAAAATGATAGTGCTGTATTTTAACAGTGAAAATAATCTTCTTCCATACAAAGACTAGTCTAAGTAGTAATTTGTAGTTAAAGGTGGTAAAATTATAACATATTAATTGGCACGATATATATCGGTACTTTTTACAGCCACCTCCAGCACCTAAAACTGTAACCTACAAACCACGACCAACTGTTGTCTGTTATATTTGTGGAAGAGAATTTGGATCCAAATCTATATCAATCCATGAACCACAGTGTCTTATTAAATGGCATAACGAAAATAATCAATTATCAAGGGAATTACGGCGCCCAGAACCTGTTAAACCAGAAGTACAGACAATAGGAGGTAAGACAATTTCAGTTCATTATTAAAGCATTGTTTTAGGAATAGACAAAATATTGTTTGACCAGCTGTGTATGTTTTCCACATGTAAGTCTGTTTTTATACGCCCACATTTTCATGTGGACGTATATTGTCGTCGCCCCTGTTTGTGAACAGGCTACAGGTCACAATTTTTATCCGATTTCAATGAAACTTGAAATATAGGTTTATCACCCTAAGACCTCGGTTCCTTTCGATATTGGCATGTATCGTACTGTAATTTCATGGATTATGGCCCCTGATTGTACGTAAAATCACGTTTTTAGCTTGTGAACACTGTAGAGGCCACAATTTTTATCCGATTTGGTTCAAACTTGAAATGTATGCTTATAACCCAAAGATCTCCGTTCCTTTCGATATTCGCGCATATCGGAACGTAACTTCCTGAATTATGGCCCCTGATTGTACGAAAAATCGCATTTTTAGCTTGTGGACCCTATAGAGGTCATAATTTTTATTCTTTTTAAAAAACCGTTTTATTATATCACCGTTTCACCCTAAAGACGACTGAGTTCAAATTTCGTGAAAATCGACCCAAAACTGACAGACAAAATGGCCGCCCTTCGTTCTCAAATCGCGTAAAAATATGGTATATCAAGGTTGTGGACCCTATAGAGGTCACAATTTTTATCCGATTTTGTTGAAACTTGAAATGTAAGTTTATTACCCAAAGATCTTAGTTCCTTTCGATATTCACGTATATTGGACCGTAACTTCCTGAATTATGGCCCCTGATTGTATGAAAAATTGCGTTTTTAGCTTGTGGGCCCTATAGAGGTCATAATTTTTATCCGATTTAAAAAATGTATTATTAAATCACCGTTACACCCTAAGGATGGTTGAGTTCGAATTTCGTGAAAATTTCGACAAAATGGCCACCCTTCGTTCTCAGATAGCGTAAAAATATTGTATATCAAGGTTGTGGAACCTATAGAGGTCACAATTTTTATCCAATTTTGTTGAAACTTGAAATGTAAGTTTATAACCCAAAGATCTCAGTTCCTTTTGATATTCGCGCATATCGGACCGTAACTTCCTGAATTATGGCCCCTGATTGTACGAAAAATCGCGTTTTTAGCTTGTGGACCCTATAGAGGTCATAATTTTTATCCGATTTAAAAAATCATATTATTATATCACCGTTACACCTTAAGGACGGCTGAGTTCGAATTTTGTGAAAATGGGCCCAAAACTGACAGACAAAATGGCCGCCCTTCGTTCTCAAATAGCGTAAAAATATGGTATATCAAGGTTGTGGACCCTATAGAGGTCATAATTTTTATCCGATTTTGTTGAAACTTGAAATGTATGTTTATAACCCAAAGATCTTGGTTCCTTTCGATATTCGCGCATATTGGACCGTAACTTCCTGAATTATGGCCCCTGATTGTACGAAAAATCGCGTTTTAAGCTTGTGGACCCTATAGAGGTCATAATTTTTATCCGATTTAAAAAAACGTTTTATTATATCCCCATTACACCCTAAGGACGGCTGAGTTCGAATTTCATGAAAATCGACCCAAAACTGACAGACGAAATGGCCGCCCTTCGTTCTCAAATAGCGCAAAAATATGGTATATCAAGCTTGTGGACCCTACAGAGGTCACAATTTTTATCCGATTTTGTTGAAACTTGAAATGTAAGTTTATAACCCAAAGATCTCAGTTCCTTTCGATATTTGCGCATATCGAATTGTAATTTTCTGAATTATGGCCCTTGATTGTAGGAAAAATCACTTCCTTTTTAGCTTGTTCTCTATCAACTCTCGAAAATGTGGGCGTATCCTGCCTGGCAGCTGCTGGTTTTCCTGTTTGGTCAGACAGCCATATTTCAAAACCAGTTTAACTGTTCTGACAGCCACAGGTTTACACTTAATTATGCTCACATCCTTGACGCAAATTTTCACCAAAAATAAATGCAATTTTAAGCAGACCCATTCAGACATTAAAATAGGAAACTTGGGTGAGTTCCTACACTGCATGGTTTATTTGTGTAAACATCAAATAGTGGACAATTTTTAACAGCCATATCAAATTCTATATTCATAAAATATATTGGGTCATATTTACATGTACCTTATCAATGTAACAGACAAATTAAGTGATGTTGGGCACATGAGGTACTGATATACACGACGCAATATATTGGGTAAACTAAATTGAAACATTCATCTTTTTATATTATCATAGATTTAATATTTTATTTCCATTAAATGTGTTTATATATGTCATATATTTTCTTGATTTTGGTTCTTTGATTCTTTGTATGGGAGTAAAAATTGAGGTCCCTTGTTCACATTTGCGTCCACTTAAAAGAACCCTTGACAGTTGAAATTCATTACAAGAGTAGGCTGTAGTGCAGCTGCAGTCTATGCAAAATTCCCTCCTAGCACACTGTGTGAAGTATGCCTGTCCTCATTAGCCCAGTCAGAGCAGAACAGTAGGACATTAACCCCTTTTCGTTTCTATGGACTGAGGTGAACTCAATGTCATTTAGTTTATGTAAGAAAGATCAGTCATAATGTAAATATTTTGAATGAAATATAACACAGGGCAGAGTTCTGATTGAATAGGAGTATCCAAACTGTGAACTTTTGTACTAAATAACCTTTAAACATCATCACCAGTCATGCGTTAAAAGACTTAATCCCTATTAATAATAATATAATATCAAAGATCTAAATAAAATTCTAAGCTTATTGAAATGTTTGTACTAATACAATACTTGTACATGTATTTTGAAAGAAATGGTACAATTCTTGTACTCGGTACATTTAGTTTGGAAGTAATGGTACAGGTATGCCCCCCCACCCCCAAATTCTTTTTACAGTGTTATTAGAAATGTCATAAACTTTTTACTTGTTTTAATAACAAATCAGTTTTTGAAAGTAATAATTTATTGATGATTGTAAGAGAAGAACTGAGTGTTTAATGGATATCACTATGGTTACACAAATGTTGTGTTTGTTTATTGAGGTCAAGCATCTAGAATAATATGCTTAAATAGTTATTCAAGTCTGAAATCATTGATTGATTCTCCCTGGAAGTGGTCTTTGATTGTAATTATAAGATTGGACCACTTTAAGTATTGATGATACACATTATTTAGGATGAAGTTTCAATGTTGGACATATTTCTTAGATCTTTAAATCAAGATCTGCGAGTGTTATTACATATACGTCAGAAGACTATGGGTCATATTAGATAGTCAGTCAAGCTTTGCTGTGAATTTAAAGGACAATATTGGTGCCAGTCATTATCACATATGTGATAGAACTGGTGAACACATCCAAATATTATTTTATCACAGAGATCATTGCTACAATAGATGCGTAATCAATGCTTCAACAATCGGAAGTGACGAACGCAAAAGAAAAACACAAGTTATCCCTCTATATAACTGACTGAAGTGACGAGTGATATCCTTTCACAGTCTCACACAACAACTTTTGTTCTTCGAAGGAATTATTAGTGAGCAGAAATTCGGCCATGTATCTGTTGTCAACCGTCACTTCAGCCAATTATATAGAGGGATAACTCATGTTTTCCTTTTGCGTTCGTCACTTCCGATTGTTGAAGCATTGATTACGAATCTATCATTAATGTAATTAAAATTACATTAAATACAGTTAGATGTATAGTTTTCTGTGTATAATGCTGAACAATAGGTTTATTAATTGAGATGATGATAAAAGTTGTCATATTCCTGGCAAATCTAATAGGTAAATTTTGTTTTACATTTCTTTTCTTCTTAAAGAAATGTGAAGCTGTTTAATAGCTGTTCATGAATAACAAAAGCTTAAATGTGTGTGGCCTTCGGAATACATGTAATTAAATCATTATTATTTTATATTTTAGCTTCAGGAAAGTATGATATTGAAGCTGTAAATGAGGCAGCATGGAAAGCATCTCAGGCTAATCTGGTGCCTTGTCCTAACTGTGGTCGAACATTTAATCCTGATCGTCTAATTGTTCATCAACGAAGCTGTAAACCTAAACCACCAAAAGACGATTAAGATACCTTATTGCACTTAGAGCTTAGATATATGTGTAAATATGTAATTAATGCATTTGATATATATACATATATTAATATTTAGTACAGATAAACTACAGACTATCTTTCCATTGACATACCGTTGTTCGAACCATTAACACCAGAGGTCCAAAAGAAACTCGACTTTTATTGAAAATAAAAGTGTCGCAATTACCAACACATAGGTAAAGAGCAGTGATGGGATTTCGCCCGCATATTCCAGACATTTCCGACGTGATTATCTAAACATCTTAAATTGTCTGATCAGGAATATGCCCAATCGGACATCAAGGTATGGTGAATAATATTCAAAATTCCAAAATTAATATAGTGTACTGAGTGTATATCTACCACTCAACTTGATTATCGTTGATAATAGGATGGATTGATTAGGTAATTAATTGATCAACGTACTTATCGTGTCATACCGCCTATACACCTACCTTGATTAACTAGTTAATCTGCCTTGATTGGCTGACTTAATCCTTTATCGGACGATTCATCAATCCAATTGCTTCTCCTTTGTTGGACTATGGATCAATCCAATAAGAGTGATTATTTACTTAATTACATGATTGAGCCATGATTTCTCCATTGTCGGACTTTTTAATTTCCTTGATGCCTGCCGACAACACATAGAAATTAGTCATATATGTCACATATCATGATAGTATATAACACCCCAAAACAATATACATTGTATCCGATAACTTGTCTGCGATATCACTTTGGTGGAAGCGAGTGTTAATTGAAAGAAAGTATTTTGGGGGTTTAGTATATGAAGGGATCATTTGTTTTTACAAAACCACAACAAACTCTGATCTTAATTTACTTTGATGTATATTTAATGAGTGTATAATTTGTGCCATAATTCCAATGATTATATATTTCAATTTTCTGTGATAAAACTACTTCTAATTAGAACAAACTGTAAATATATATACTCTGTACAAAGATATATATATAAGCTAAAGTATATATTTATGGTTTGAGGGCTTTAAAATTACAATTTATTATGGAAAAAGTTTTATTCAAAATTACATGCCAAATCATGTTATATTTTTATTCATTGAGTCACCTTGTAAATGCATATTAACGTCATAAATTGATTTATTACCATAAAATAACTGATATTTTGATGTTCCTCAAGTTTAATACCACATAGAATATATGTAAAGGAAATTGTAACCTGTGTCATTGATGCATTTCACTGCTGTATTGAAAAGACAAATTAAAAAAAACATGGTCCTTTACACATAGGGGCTTTATTAAAGAAAACTTAAGTGAGAATATTTTAAAATTTGTTCTATGATTTTAGTGCTCAGCCAATGAACAATCAGTATTTTTAAAATATTTTAGTTTTAATTTTCCTGAATAGAGCCCCCTCACTTCACTATAATCTGTGATATACAGATATATTAGTTCATTTATACAGGTCCTAGTGCAGGTGTGTGCATAAAAGTGGACATGGTCACATTTGATGTTTTGAATATGAGTATTTGTTTTATATTTGTATTTTCTTTTTAGTTTTCCAAAATATTGCGTCCAACCATATATATAAAACCGTCCTAAGTGACAATTATTATTTTGTCATTTGTATTAAATCTGTCCAAATCTAATCTGCTGTATCAATTTATGTGATAATAATTATTTATGTTATAATATTGTTGTATTAAAATCATGTACAGGTAGTGACATATTACCATAAGTTCAAATAAGAGAAATGAATACTTGTTATAAAATATAAATTTATACGGATACCAGTTATTTATATTATATGTATAAAATATTATTATATTAAAAATTTTGTATAAACGTATTAACTACATGTTCAAGATAGCGGAAAAGGTTATAATTAAATATTAATTTATATGTGATAACAATTATTTATATAAATGTATCTACAATATTGTTGTATTGAAAATTTGTATTAAAGTATTAACAATAAGTTCTAATAAGATAAAGTAAAAGTTTATGATTAAATATAATTTCATGGATGTATTAATATCAGTTATTAGTTTTTGTTTTATTGATCAAGTGCTATAATAGTATTATTTGTATTAGGAAATATATTCACTCCTTATGCCATTCTCAAATTAAAGCCCATCCATTATTAACAAAATAAGAAGTTCACAATAAAACAGTTTTTTTTAAAAATCTGACAGATTTATCATCTTCATGTATTTGAATATCTACAGCACTCCTAATTAATATCTGGAACTATTATAGTTCAGGTGCGTTTGCGCAAGACTTAAAGATGCATTATGTAAGATTTAGATAAAGAGATGGGTCAGCTGACCATTCTTGCTATAGTTAGTTCAAAAATAGGTAATGAGAAATGAATATATTGAAAATTTCTTTCAAATTACTTTTTTCTGGGCAACTTTAACTTTCTGATCTATGGAATTATTTCTACCACATTCTAATATTTTAAATTTAAAAAGAAAAACAACAACTTTAGGATTTCTTAAAATGTGATATTAAATACAGTATTTACACAGCCTTTATATACACCAGTGTACTATATATGCAACTGTATTTGTCAATTTTTGTTGATTATTTGTGACCAGTTCTGGCTAAAAGTGAATGAATTTACTGGATTTCTTTAGGTTAATTTGTTTTGTGGTATGACATGTCTTCATTGAAATTTTATGCCTCTAGGTAAACCCAGTGTGTTCTACAATAAGCCAAAATGAAACTAAAATTATTAAATAAGCAGACTTCTGCTTAAACTTTCCAACTAATATTAGTAAATAATCTGATTTCTGCTTAAACTTTCAAACTAAAATTTAATCATAAAAGACTTGCCTCATCAACTCAAAATCAGTAAATGCCATTTGTATATAAAGTAATGGACCAATGACTTACTTCTCAGTTATCCAGAACTGATCACATTTTGTTGTATGATTATTATATCTTAATTGTTTGTAATGTATACTAATTTGATTATATTTAGAGGTCTGTTATGTTTTTATATTAAATATTTATGATTTAATTATTATTTACATTCACATAAACACAAGACAGTTTGTCAAATGAAGTTTGGATTAAAAAATATTTATGAAAATATTATTGTACTTCTTAAATATTTGTTAAATTTAGAAATGTAATGATTAGTTTCCTACTGTTATCCATATAAACAATTTCAACATTCAAAAGTGTGACACAAAATCAAAACCTACCATGCAGTGAAAGTCTGAAACAACATGGGGAATTTTGCTGTATGACACCCAAATTTCATGTTTTAAAAAAGACATTTTTCCCCCAGAAAATGATATAGGTTTAACTTAATAACCTCCTACTGTTATACTCCGACTGGGCTAATGAAGACGCTCATACGCCGTACAGTGTGCTATGTGGGAAATTTTCCCCGAGCAGCGGCCTTATTGCCTACTCTTATATCGAATTCCAACTGCCAAGGGTTCTTTAATGTCTATGCCAATATGAATACAGGACCTCAGTTTCCCATCATATTGGGCTGACTATACATTGTCCCTTGTCAGGCCCTCCATCATACACCACTGACAAGGTGGAACCACGGCGGAAAATCTGGATGAACCTTCTAGGCCAACACCTCCTTGTTAGCGAGCCAACGTCTTTTCACTGATCCACCACATTCAAGATCCCTGTGCTAAATATAACAAAATAACACCCTCGGTTGAAGTTAAACACTAACAACAAGAGAAGTTTCAAGGTTAGGATCAGTTTAGCACTAAAAGAGTTATGTCCCATGTTACCATCACATTTATTGTTGACTTGATCATAGTTTATATGAAGCAAAGAAATTTTCGATGACCAGAATGATATAAACAGTAATAAACAGTATATTGACAATAACTTGATATATTTTACGTTTTATTGAAGCTAAACAAGTCCATAAAAATCCATTTAATTTATAGTTAGTATATATATTTAACAACTTTCATTAAAATTATCTTAATTTAATCAACAGTAAATTTTTATTTTCACATAATGACAATAAAAAGTATAATTTCATTTAAGAAAGGGATATTTCAAATGTGGTAGCACTCCAAAATATAGCAATGTAACACAAATGAAAATGTAATAATTCACACATAACACACTTCATTGTGATCAATTTTAGTTGATTGAAGTTAAAGCCTCTTTTATCAGATGGAGAAATGTTGACTGTGGTTAAGTGTCGATTATTAACTTCCTGGTATTTCTTTTATCAGAATAATCACTTCTGATTTTTAATAGTAAGTGCAGGACCTACAGACAACATAAACTACAAAGACATGGCGAGAAATACACAACAAATATCCGGGGGCCAGTCCTAAGCGTCCACTGTGATATACAGTCCCGGGCCTGTAATGATGCAGGCTTAACTCAAAATGAAAAAAAAAATATTTACAAGAAAGACCGATCTTGACAATGATCGTCTCTTGAATGGCTATAATAGGGGCCATAATCCAGATAGAATCTTTCAAAACGCTAAAAGTATAAATAATAAAGTGAGCAAACAGGAGCAAAGCCCAACCACGAGAATATTCTGAAGTATGAAGGGCTAAAATTCTACTGTAATATACTATTCAAAAAAAGTAGGGGATATTTGATTTTGGGGGCATAATACTAAAATATGCAAATGACTACGAAAAAAGTCACTATGGAACCTAACAGAAGAAACATTTCCAGTTACATGTGACGCCCAAACGCACCAATAGCTACCGCATGGAATGCAGGTGATGCTTGGGATCATCATGGGGGTCCAACCCAAGATTTGCACGACTCTGACTTTGAATGTTACAGTCATTGTGGCATTGAATTCCAGGGTGGAAACATCAGTTTAATTGTTTTAGTGACCAGAAAACAAATTTTGATATGCGTCGGCTTACCCAAAATGAAAGGTTACGTGCCCTTGGCATGCTACAGATCGGCACAACACAGGCGGTTGTGGCGCGGACGATGAATGTTTCTCAGTCTGTCATAAGCAGGCTATGGTCCAGATACCGTGATACACAATCTGTACAGGACAGACCACGCTCAGGTCGACCAAGGGCGACAACTCAAGCCCAGGATCGATTTATCCGTACCTTGGCCTTGAGAAATCGTGTCATCACAGCAAATCAGATCAGCGCTCGTCTTCAAACAGACACTGGTGTGAGAGTGAGTGGCCAGACGATTCGGAATCGACTGCATAGGGGTCACCTTCGCGCCCGACGTCCTCGCGTGATCCCTTGTTTGAGAGATCATCACATTCAGGCAAGACGTCGTTGGTGTAGGGATCGTCAACACTGGGATAATCGACGCTGGAGCAATGTGATGTTTTCAGATGAGTCAAGGTTCACTGTTGATTTTTTGGACAGACGTAGGAGGGTGTGGCGTCGTCGAAACGAGCGCTTCCAAGACGTTAACGTCATCAGACATGATCGATTTGGGGGTGGTTCTGTTATGGTGTGGGGAGGCATCACTGTTGCTGGAAGAACGGCTTTACATGTTGTTGCAGGGCGTGTTACAGGCCAGTACTACCGGGACAACATCTTGGCAGTCCATGTTGTGCCGTTCGCACGACGTCATGGCCGCCGTTTCATCTTCCAGGATGACAACGCAAGATGTCACAGGGCCAGGATCGTTACAGGTTACCTCCAACAACAGAACATCACCACATTACCTTGGCCAGCACTGAGTCCCGACCTCTCCCCCATCGAGCATGTCTGGGACATGCTTGGACAGAGGTTACGTCAACGTCAACAACGTCCTGCCAATGTCCAAGAACTTGCTGCTGCGTTGCAACAGGAATGGGACAATCTGGACCAAAATGACCTTAGACGTCTCATTAGGAGTATGCCACGTCGGATCAATGCTTGTTTGGCAAACAGAGGAGGATTTACCCGTTACTGACTTGGTTGTGATGCTGTGGTAACTTTGCTGTTTGACCCGGGTATCATTTTACCCTTATAATGGTCAGTCTGTGCCTTACTTAGTCTAACGATCATTTGGAATAAATCGATGAATGTGAACTTCATTTCATTTTGTCATTTGTTTCTTCGTCAGTTTCATTAGGTGACTTTAATAACACTTAAAAATCAAATATCCCCTACTTTTTTTGAATAGTATAGTAAGAACAGGAGGACAGCACTACAAGCAAGACATTGCAAGAAGCAAACAACAATTAATATCAAATCAAGTCAATCTGGTAGTGAATCTCAGTGGACAGAATTCCCTTAGATCAACGTTTGATTTACATCAATTTAGAGTTTCAATTTTAAAAAAAAAATTTTCTTTTCGAAATTTTACATTGTTTTAGAAATGTGATATGATTCTAGCGCTGTTTTCAAGTCAGACACTAGTAATAACTGTAATTAGGACGTGATTCTAGCACTTATTTCAAGACAGATACTCATAATAACTGTAATTTGGACGTGATTCTAGCTCTATATTCAACACAGACACTCATAATAACTGTAATTTGGACATAACTCTAGCTCTATTTTCAAGCCAGACACTCGTACTAACTGTAATTTGGAAACAAGTCTAGCTCTATTTTCAACAGCAGACACTCGTAATTAGGTCATAATACAAAAACAGCATAATATAAACTGGTTATCTACCATGAACATACGATTTAGTTTCAAGGCAATAAAATTTAGAATAACACAGCAGATATTTAATAGAACTATTTTTAAAAAAATTGTAACTGCTTAATGATCCTAAACCACACCAATTCTGAACCATGTACATTGAGCAACACCACAGCGATGAACAGTGGGAGGCTTATTGTAATAGTTTTACTGATTTATTTACAGAATAAACTACTTCACAATATTTATTTTTGACCAATCAAAATAAATATGATTTAAAACAAGCCTGGCTGTCACTGAGTGATTTAAAAAGTGTTGCTTTATTATTGACCAATCAAAATAAACTTTTTATGCCACAATGGTTTTCACTTTCTAGTATTTAAATAATATGTACTGAGATATACTTGTATATGGAATTGTCTTATAGCAAGTTGGTCACTTCATATTTGAGCTGGTTACCACATGACATCAGATAAGCCTAGCTGATCATCTAGTGATTTGGGACTAGTTGCTTCATTAAACTGCTTTACATATTGCATGATAATAATAATAAATATAACAATCACCATTCTAGATCTACATATATATAACAAAACAATATAATAATAATAATAATCATCAAGACTTTAACCATTTCCCAACAACTCCTAAAGCTGAACCAAATGTCTGTAATAATGGGTGACTAGATCGTGCTCGTAATAACAGAGTTCCAGCTTCTGCATCATATCCAGCCGCTTTCAATTCTCTGGCAACGATATCAGCTGATAAATGGTCTGGTAGATCTGAACTACCTTGAGCATCTAAAAGAATATCCAGTGCTAATGGGTAGTATAATGTTGGTACTATGAAGGACATGAGGTGATTTTTGAGTAGCAAGTTGAGCAAATCTTTATCACTAATTGGCTGAAAGAAATATAAAAAAACAACAATTTAAAACCTTTAATACAAATCGCAACTCATTAGAATCCAAGTAAACAAATCAGATTAAACAGTTTTATTTTCCTCATCTGTATAAACTACTAAAACATCTAATTCAAATAGATATTTGGTCACAGTGGAACAATAATGAAAGACATGTTGACAGTTATCTTAAACCCATGTTACTAATTCAGGGCTTTATTTATAATAGTTGTGGCTAGATATTCTTTAGTAGTTCTGTGTGCTTAATATGTTTAATATTTGTCTCAAGTTTAATCTCGAGGTTAATTGTCAAAACCACAATGAAGAATTTATCTTCAATATGACACAAGTTTAGTGATCTATGCTGCCAATGTCTAACTGTATCTAGTCGGACAAAGAATCAAAATTTATATCAAGATTATAGTCCAACATTTACTTACTGGTATTTCTATTTTTTTCATTTCTATAACAAGACAATTTAAAATGAAATGAAATAAAATGGGGTTTAACTATTCTGCTCCAAACTGGGCTATGGGCTAATAAAGACGGGCATACGCCATACAGTGTGCTATCAGGGAAATTTGGCACAACAACCTACTCTTATATCGAATTCCAACAGTCAAGGGATCTTTTACGTGCACGCCAATGTGTACATGAGACCTCGGTCTTCCGTCCCATTCAAATGACTAGACAGCTGTCCTTGTCAGGCCCTCCGTCCTGCATAACTGACAAGGGGGAACCACACCGGAAAATCTCGAACTTTCTCGGCCAATACAGGGATTGAACACCCGACCTCCAGACTAGCGTCTTACCCACTTAGCAACTGTGACCCCTGACAATTTACAAGATATTATAACTAACCTGTTTATGATTAGTAAGAATATTAACAGCATCTGTATAAAGTTGTTTATGTTGACATAATAAAACTAATTTAACACCTTCTATATCTTTATTATTCTCTACCAAATTATCAAACACATGCTTTGTACACTGGAAAATAATACAACATTAATTAAAGACAGTTGGAAGTACAATAAACAATAATCTATAATGTGTCAGAATAAACCATGTCAATAGAGGAATTTATTTAAAAATGATGAAATTTTGTTGGTTATCTATCAATTGATCTATTTAATTGACTTGATAACTCATCACAGCATGGAGGTTAACTGCATTTTTGTCTGAAAAATGTTGTATTGAAAATACTGGAGAGGGGTTTACATGTTATTATCTCCAATCTCTATTTCAAAATATCACAATAAAAATATTCATTATGAAATCTGCTGATGTCATTTGAGGAATTTCGCATCCCTTGTAAACTATATCTTGTGAACGTTAAATCTTTGAAAGGAATATAATTAAAAAAAACAGATCGATTCTGTTTACAAAGTTATGATAAACTGAAAATTTTGCAATATTCAACATCCTCAGCTGAAGATATAAACAAGTCAGTACCATATCTTGATGGGCCTCTTTTTAATCAGACTGTAACCAAGTTGGGAAAATATCTACCTGTACGGCTTCAGAATATGAAAGAGTAATATCAAAGTTGTTGGATTAAGAAACCTACCTGTATATTTATTGGTATTACATCACATATAGTTTGTAGTATAGTAGTTGTTAAATTATCTACATTTTTATCTTTACATATCACATCAAACACTTTTACCCACAGGTTTATTTCAGGACCTTGATTTCTGGAAATAAAAAATTATTACATTCTAGTTATATAACTTATTTATCCAGCACAAAATGCCTGATATTCATGAACACTAGTACATTAATGTATAACCAAAATTATAGGGTTAAAAGTGTGGTTATTTAAAAGAGCTCAACCTCTAACTCAATAGTTTTTCCTAATATTCGAAATTAAAAACATAAATTAGAATTCAATGTTGCAGCATTTCAATCAATATTGATGTTGATGTCTTGCCAGGAAAATATGTTCTATGGTTTCGGGTGCCGTTTGGAGAAAAAAAAAAATATCCTACAAGACAATGTGGAAGTAATTAGTAATGGCCGATTCACAAAATAACAAAAAAAACCCAGTCAATTTCGACTGTTCACATATTTCATCGAACATAATTGATTAGATATTACAACAATTTATATACATTCAAATTACATTAATACTTTTACCTGCTTATAAAACCGTTTTCGTTTATCTAAAGGTTCCAAAGAATATAGCCATACCCCCTTTAAATAAACGTCTTGGTTTTAAACTCTTGGTCTATTTATAGGCTGTATAGGTTATAATATAAATACCTATTTCAATGTAATTAAGACAGAAAACAGTGGAACAATAAACAACTTACTCATATTTTGTTTGTGTTGGCCATAGTTTGAGCAGACGACACAATGCTAGATATTGATTGGCTGTTTTACTATCAGGTAAAAGCTTGTTAAATAGTAATAAACGATTTTCTTCTGTTTTAATATCATCTTCAGTTACCTGTAAAAATACACATCTTTTATTTATCATTATCTGGTAATTTCACTGTATGACCATTTCGATAATTCTATTTCACAAACTATAATTATAATTAAATTTTCATATGATTTTGATTGTCTGATGATTTCTTGGACAGTCATTTATTAATATTTATATGTATTCTATTAATCAAATAAATAATAAAGGTAATAATAGATCACCTGAATATGACTCCAAGCTTCGGATATCACAGCCTTTGTTCTATATAAATTTAATAAAACACTATCTTCATCAGATAAATGGAAGCTCTGAAAACATAAAAGAACAATATTGTTTTCATTTCAGTATTAATTTATATTGTAATGGAAGCAGGACAACCTTTTTTTGAGATTATGATAGGGGAGTAAAACAATGATGTATATAGAGACATCAAACCTAATCTGGATAACAATCTCAATCATATTTCTTTCTACATGAACACTTAAGTTGGCTACTTTCCCATAATAAGCATCAAATTATCACCAACTTAAAAATAAATCTAGAACATCATATCATTAATATACATACCTTTCCTAATATATGTAAGACATCTAATCTAGGTTTAACAGCTATATTTGAATCTGAACAAAATGGTCTTAATAAAACCATTACATCTTCAGATTTGACTAAATCACCGCTGAAATAAAATAGATTACATATTTGTGTTACTAAAAAAACATAAGAATAATTCCATTCAACTGATGATTGTTGCACAATATGGATATAATTTAAATAGAAAGACTCAAAAATCAGTCATTTCTAATTTAACTATAAGTAACACAGTTAGCTAGTGTGAAGCAAAATCAGAACTTTTGGAATAAAAGAGGACACAAAATACATGTATAAAAAGGAAACGCACCATTAAACACTATATCTTCAGACAATTAATTTAAGAACAGTTATAATATTTGGTTTCCAATCACTTTCTTTAATACATGCAACATTTTTGTTTGTTTCTATAACTAATAAATCTATTGTTTTTGTTTTATTGGATCTTTTAACTAAAAAAAACCAAACTTACCTAGTTTCTTCATGTTCTTGTACATTAGTAACAATATCTTCTAATGTCTTTAAACAATCATAACCTTCTAATTGATCACAATCTTCACCTCTGTAATAAAAGTAGGATTGTATAAATCAACATGAAAATGAAATGAATGGGGATTAACGTCTTAATGAAGACGAGTGTACACGAAAGATTGTTCTATGAGGGAAATTTGCCTGGACAGCTGTGCTACAGCCTACTCTTATTTCGAATTCCAACTATCAAGGGATCTTTTATGAGCACGCCAACGTGTACACAGTTTTTCGTCCCATCCTTGCAAGGCGTCCTGTTGTCCTGCCCCCACTGAAAAGGGCTAGGGAATTTCTCATGTAGGATTCATTCTAATTCAACTACAGTTTTCATTTATTAGTTTGTTTCTCCTAAGACTATCTCTGTCTCTTTTCAATAAAGTTGTTGAAGACTATACCTAAGTTTTAGAGCAATAAGTTTAATTGAATCTTGTAAAGCTGTTTGAACTGTGAATTCTGGTAATGGTGATACTTGTAAAACATCATCTACTAGATCTGGTGTTTGACCATCTAATATCATCTTAATAAACAACTTCTCTAACTGTAATACATGTATAGAAACATCACAATCAAATTTTCTGTCAAATGTGGTGAAATATCACTTGCTTGCTGGTTGAAATTTAATGCCTGCATCCACAATAGTCATATTGCAGACAGGCTCTACATAGTGTGATACCACTCAACAATGTCAGTAAGTATGTATAGATTCACAAACTTGAAGTTGACATAATTACTGTTGAATTGAATGAATTGAATGAAAACAAACATGCAGTGTGCTATGACTGCAGAGCTACAGACTAGTCTTATTTCCTTCCATCTATCAGGGCATATGTTCTGATAATGGTATATTTAATGTCTAATATGAACGACTAGACACTTATTTCCTTGCCAGACCCTCTATGATAAAGTAAAAGCAGTCAGGGAAAACCAATCAGGAACTTTCTTGACCAACACAGAGATCAAACCCATGACATGCAATGATCAATATCAATTTAACATTTTCTCGTTTTATAGTGTATATGTGGAGTTTCTCTATTGCAAAGCTTTTGTCTTTTATAACATATGTTTATAAGAATGTTTGAGGATGTTTCTGACCTACCTGATCTTGTCTACCAGCCGATAAATCATAAAGATCAGAATATTCTTTATAGACTGGATCATCCACTTGACTAAAAGACCTTATTGTATCATTGTTTAAATTATCTAAATGTGATAATCTATATTGTAGACTAGATGCCACATCTCCCCATGTTAATGTACTAAAAGATAAAAAACAAAGTCATTTCACTCTGAGAGTCAATTTCATTAGTACAATACTATAGAGGAAGAGAAATAGGGTTTAACATCCACTTGACACAAACTACATCTTTTTCGGACTAACATATAGTACAGATTTTATTTCAATAATTCATTTGTGTGTAGGGGTCATTAGCAGTGAGAGGAAACCAGGTTGGGAATTCTATATAAGGTGTCAATTTCAATCAAACTGTATACTTTCAGTTTTAGGATGCTGGTTTTACATACATAGATATCAATGTGTAAAATATATAATTATATTTACCATGATTTATCTTTTAGTTTAGATGGCTGTTTACAAAACTTAATAGCTCTATCAATAATTTCTTTACGATGATCCAACAGTAACTGAGAAAAAAATAATCGGAGAACAATGTTGTCAATTTTGGAGTTACTTGGGATTAGCAAGACATTTTTGAAATAAAATATAAACAAAATATCAGTAAAATCTAATATATCTATTTTATTAATCAATGAGTTCAAAATATCCATGAACATAAAAAGGAAACAGACTCCATATTAGTCCTAATCCTGAGGATAACTCAAACAATGTTTTCATGCTTTTCAGCACATATTGTGCTTTTACCATAAACATGTATTTTATCAAATTGAACTTACTGTAGTCTTAGCTTGTTTAGTAAATGTAATTTATTAACTTATTGTAATCTTAGCTTGTTTAGTAAATGTAATTTATTAACTTACTGTAGTCTTAGCTTGTTTAGTAAATGTAATTTCATCTATAAAATGTAAATAATCTGATGACAACATTCCTTGTACACTTTGTTTACAAGCATCAAATCTCTTTAACCAATCTATCTGTTAACAAAATTATAACATTTTACTGACTTTAATTACAATTGCATCTTTTATACATATAAAACATTTACCAAAAGACATAACACTGAAAAACCGCAGTAGTATACATGTACTTGTTTTATCTATGCCTTTAATACCGGACAGAACAGAAATGTTGCGTAATATTTAACATGTCCGTTGTGTACATAGGACCATGAGTTTTTGTGCCATTCAAACAAATAGATTTTTTTTCTTGTCAGGCCCTCCATCTTGCACCAATGACAAAAGGGTAACCATGTTGGGAAATCCCAAGGAAATGGTCAGTGGCTCCAAATTCAGTATAGATTAAGTTGGATGATCATAAAAATAAATCAGCCAAGATATATAATTAATTTGTTTATTGAAATAAAATATATTTTACCTGTTTTCCTGATGTTGTTTTTCCATCACCTTCCCAAAACAATTTAACAGCCCAGATACTGTACACAGAACTAGGATCTAGAAACTCTCCATTCTGAATATTACAGCAATAAAATATTACATTGCTTTCATGATGGGCATACAATACTTGTTCCAGTAATCTACTACAGAATAATCATATATACTGGATAGATAAAGATTTAATTATTCTTAGATATCAATAAATAATACAAAAGGAGAAAGCTTACCCCAATTGGTATACTAGAAGCATATCTAGCAAATGTATTAATATTATCAGCTGTCAATATTGGTTTTAATACATCTATAGCTTTATTATTATCATTCATTAGTTCTTTATAATCTAAATCTGAAATACAAATAATCTCTACATTAAAGCCATTTCAGGTATAAAGAAATATAAATAGCACAGTACAGTATCAGAGTTAATGGATTAAAACAGCTTCTTATTTGTCAAAAACAAATGCTTAACAAACCAGCTTCTCAAATAGCATGTCAAATTCAAACCTATTCTCTTTATCCATTCTAGGTAAGGACAGCATTACAAATTCTTGATCTGCCACTAGTATTTGTGAATGATGAGTAAGGATCTATTGTTTCTTTCCAATCACCTCACAATCAAAAATATCAAATAAAAGAATCTCCTTGTTAGTCGCTAAATAACCTAGTCATGAGGAGTGGATGTTTAACAATTTTCTTTGTCCCTCTTCCAGGTGAACTGAGTTCAACAGGATATATTTAAATTAGTAAACGAATATCCACTAAATAAAATCTAAGTTCTGCAGAATACATTTAAATTAGTAAACTAATATTCACTAAATATCAATTTAATTCAAAAACATATACTTACTGGGCATTTTAATTTTATTAAGTAACTTCATGTGAGCTTCTGGTAACATGTCTCTAAGTGAACCAGAAGGATGATTATTTAGTAGAAAGAAGAAATATTGTAGCCGCTGATGATCGTGACCGTCTATGCATGGATAAACATATTTATACATTCTGTTACAGAACTCTACAGGTTGACTAGTTAGAGGTTTTAATATGTCTTTCTTCTGTATTTGTTGTTTTAATTCTTCTGTCTTCAGTCTGAAATATATATTATAATCCAAAATATGATATTGTCAGATGTGGATTGGAGCTTGTTAAAAATAGTATATGGCACACCAGGTCTAATAACTTCAACATTATAGTACAGCATACCTGGTCTAATAACATCAACATTATAGTACATCATACCTGGTCTAATATTATCAACACTATAGTATAATATACCAGGCCTAATATTATCAACACTAAATAGTATAGCACACTAGGTCTAATATTATCAACACTATAGTATAGCACACTAGGTCTAATATTATCAACACTATAGTATAGCACACTAGGTCTAATATTATCAACACTATAGTATAGCACACTAGGTCTAATATTATCAACACTATAGTATAGCACACTAGGTCTAATATTATCAACACTATAGTATAGCACACTAGGTCTAATATTATCAACACTAGAATACCAGGTCTAATATTATCAACACTATAGTATAGCACACTAGGTCTAATATTATCAACACTAGAATACCAGGTCTAATATTATCAACATCATATAGTATAGCACACGAAACACAAATGGAAATTGCTAGACAACAAAGGTTGTTACTTACCCACTATCAGTGAAGAGAAATTCTAAATGTGACATATAAACATCCCATAATGGTACATCATATCTTTTAGCTAATGTTTTACTTAAATTATATACATCATCTTCTACAGTCCTAAATGTTGAAAAAAACAGAATTATTATAATTACAATTCAAAGCTTACATGCAAAATGCACATACAAATGCGTATTCTTTTTATCGTGGTATGTAAGAGATTAAAGTTTTTACAGACAAGGCTCTTTTGTTTTCTTTACCAATGAAAAGAAATTAATTATAGTGTTATTCATATATACAATATTTACTTAGTCAAGACATGTATAGTTTCATGTTTATATAAATAATACTTACATAGTCAAGCCAAGTATAGTTTCATGTTTATATTGATGATCATCTGTAAACCTAACAACATCCACACCTATAACATTCAAATATATACAGACATTTCTTACTAATCTTAAGATATTTTAAAGTTATAAACATATGAAATAAAAACAGATATTTTCAGTATGTTGAAATGCATGCAATGTCAATTTCAATCAAAATAAAAGTTACAGTAATAAATTTTCGAATAATACGAACACTTACAGATATTAAACTGTTTCCCCTGTATATGCGATATACTCATGAAGTGCCAGATACTAAACTGATTGTTCTAGAATTGAATTCTCTCACTCACATGAAAAATGACAGCAGAGTAAACATAAAAACACTGAGTGATAAGTGTGCGAAATAATGTCTCTTTCCACCAAAGTAATAGCAGTGACAATACTGAACGATAAAGAGAGAGAAATGGGGTTTAACGTCCACTCGACACAATCTAGGTCATTTTGGGACTAACACATGGTTCAATTTTATTTCAATAATTCGCTTGCACTTAGGGGTCTTTAGCAGTTTGAGGAAACTGGAGAACCCGGAGAAAACCCACAAGGTTGGACAGGCGACCCTACTCCTTGTCACGTACAACCGGGGAGCGATAAAGACTGCAGCATCTACCAGTAACCAATCACCACCGATGAATTCTACCAACTATTGATATAACTGTAATGATTGTCATTCAGATAAGGAGAACAATCAAGACACAATTCAATACATTCATGGGAAAATAAGAAATTATTACCTTTTCCAAGATCTTTTAAACTTTTAGCTTGATTATAATCTTCTAACATTTCTTGATAGTTCTTTAACTTGGGTATTAAATCAACAACTTCTTGTGGCCAATCAGCTTTCTTATAGTTTGTCACATGATTAACAACCTTTTTGACGATATCGTTTGGATTATGTTGATAAAGAGAATATAGGTGTGATTCTGTACAAGGTTTAAGATGACTATAAACTTGTAGAGCATAGTAATAGACAGCTAGTTGTAGTGATATGGCAGTACTTGGAAATTCTTCAAAACATTTCTCAGCTTCAGCTGGCTAAATACAAAAAGGAGATTTGTAAGTTTTATCAAAATTTTATTAAATCTGTATTATCAAAATTTTTGTTAAATCCATATAATGACATCTTATTGTTCAACTTTTTCTGTTTTAATGTCATGTCTGTCAAAGCAAAATCTACTGTTGGACAAATTTTGAAAAAAAAATCTTTTATCTTTGGACATGTTTTTGGAAGATACAAGGATAGACATTAATCCTTAGACATGTTTTGGAAGATACAGGGAGAAACATATCTGTGTTATTGGTAATCAACAATCAAATAATAGTTTTGTTTATGTTATGTATAGCAATTAGTATCAGGTATCCTCATTACAAAAAAACTGGTTATGTTAAATTACAAACTACCACCACCATGTTGTATTTATCTGAAGAAACTATACAAAAGTAAAAACCTTTGCTACAACCTATCTACATCATGATCAAACTATGTAAGGACTGATTTTTTCACAACTACCTAATCAATATGATATTAATATATAAACATTAATTAATATGTAATACCTGGGGTAAAGCCAATAAATAAGCTAATCCTAGAGAACTGTCTTTAGGTAGAGAAGCTCTTGCTAGTTGTAGTAAAACTGAAAATAAATTCAGATAATTTATGAAATGGGGATAAATGTCTTAATGTTCTGCTACGATTGGGCTAATGAAGACAGGCATACGCCATACAGTGTACCGGTACTATGATGAAGAAGATTTTGACCGGACAAATTTGCAACAGAAACGTTGTGTTATGATACAGGACAGGTGGGTGTTATGATACAGGACAGGTACTAACCTTCCACTGCAGGATTAGCCTTTTCTCCTTCTGTTAACATTTCTTCAAGCTTGGCTGTTCGTAAAATATTCTCACTCATTTCCTGATCTTCATCAATTTCATATTTACTGTGATTATAGCTGGGTAAAGTCTGTATAAAAACAAAGATATTTAATTAACAGATTTAGAGACTGTGAAACTGCTAATAAAATTATAATGAGGCGAAGTCTGAGCAAAAACAAAGATAATATATCATCATTATTTCTATTATTACTCGAAAGGTATTGACGTCAGCAAAACATTTTGCATGATGGTCCAAATTGAGATGTTAATTTGAAATGAATTTTGTTACACAAGCTAACAGGTAAGGTTTAATTTTATTCATATTTATCATTTTGAAGGCGAAACTATAGGGACAAATAGCCAAAGTGTCCTCTTAATCGAAAAGCAAATGTATAGTAGTTATCTCCTTGTCCGGCAATTTAACTTCCCGCCCCTTTTTTCAAAACAAAGAAAAAAGAGGTTCGAATTGAGGGACCGATAGAAGTA